TCTTATATACTGTATTTTTTTTTAAAAAACTTAAAAAAATTTCCACCTTGTTGAGGAGTCCCTTTATTTTTTTCTCAGCTTTTTATTCTTTGTTAACTTGTTTTCATTAGCATCTGTAAGACCATGAGAGGAAGCTGAGACCTCAATTTAAGTTTCATCTTTTTTTTTATAGGTTTATAACCGAAAACATCCCAATTTTGCATTACATAACCCAGAGGACTGCCACTGGGAATCGAATATGAGTTTCCCGTTATGCTGCTGCCCACAAACACATATTCTATACACGCATGCATTTCCACACAAGTATCAAAACAAATGGAACCAAGAATTAGTCTTTTCAAGAAATCAGGGTTCCCCCTGAACGAACTCCAGTAACCTAGAAAAAACCTCTGAAACAGAGGCAAACAAATTATACATTCACATATGCCTACACACACAAATGTCAAAACAAATGGAGCTCAGAGCTAGTCCTCTCTGAGTGAGATCTCTAGTCTCTTCAACAAAGTCAGAGCCCTTTGACTAAACTCCAGCAACCTGGAACAAAACCTCCGAAGCAGAGGCAAACAAACGAAAGGAAAAATAAGGCCCAGTCAGTTTTAACAAGGCAAGTCAACCAAAACAAATGAGGCCCAGAGTTTTCTCCTGAGCAAGATCCCTAGTCCTTTCTACAAAATCGTAGCCCCTTGAACAAACTCCAGTAAACTGGAACAAAACCCCTGAAACAGGCAAACAAGGAAAGGAAAAATAGGACTTGGTCAATTTTAACAGGGAAACTCACCAAAAGGACATCTGTTCGAAACCAGAAGCCAAAACAAACAAACAGACAAACAAATTAACAAACAAATCTAGAGCCTGTTTCCTTGCCACAAGAAAAATGTGCCTAGGGCCAGTGGTGCCAGGTCAGAGTGAAAGTACCAGGGATAGTCCCTAGGGCAAATCACTTAGGCAGCTCTGGACTCCTTCCTAGGAAACCCTGGCCAGCCTGGGGCTGCAGAGCCACAGGCAAAGAGCCTCCTGGCTGGCTCACCAAATTGTTACTGAACCCAAACACGGGTTCTTTTACCCACCGCATAGTAGGGCCAATAAAGAAAAAAACTAAAACACTAGGCTTGTGGCAAGGAAAGAGGTTTACTATTATTGAAAGGCAGCCAGATGAGGAGAAGGGAGTTAGTTAGAACTCAGATCCACCTCCTTGAACGGAAAAAGGTAGGGGTTTTTATCTGGGGTTTTAGGTAGGGGAGGGAGAGCATGTGCTGGGGTTTTAGGTAACAGAGGGGAAGCACGTGGCTGTGCTGGTTGGCACCTTCCCACCAGCCTGTGTTTGGCCTTGAAGACTGAATTTCTTTCGCTTGACTGCCTGGACTTTTCTGGTTAGTTTTCATCCTCAGCCTGCGTTTGGCCTTGTGAGGCTGAATCTTGATGTCTGGACCTTGATTTCCTGGGAAAGACAGCTCACTCCTATACTAAGGAGGGACAGAAAGACCTGGTTAGTTTTAAACAACAGTTGATTATGCTGAATATGCACAGCTGCAGTGAGCAAAGCTTGTCTCAAAGTTTTTGTTCTCTTCTTCTAGCCCAGGGAAGATTTTTTAACCTCTTCATGCTCAGTTTCACTGCCGAGGGTAAAATGCTATCAAACAGCATTGCATGCTGTAGAAAAATCTTCATGAAAGGAAGAGTCAATCAATGCAGCAAACTTCATTCTTATCTTATTTTAAGAAACTGGCATAGCCACCACCACCCTGATCAGTCAGCAACCATCAACATTGAGGCAAGACCTCCCACCAGCAAAAAGATTATGACTCACTGAAGGCTCAGATCATGGCCAGCATTTTCAGCAAAAAAGTATTTTTTACTTAAAGTATGTACATTTTTTTTAGATGCAATGCTATTGCACACTTAATAGACTACAGTATAGTGTAAACATAACTTTTATATGCACTGGGAAACCAGAAAATTCATGTGACTCACTTTATTGCAATATTACCTTTATTGTGATATCTACTTTATTGTGGTGGCCTGGAACCAAACCCGCACTATCACCACGGTGTGCCTATACATAAAAATATGTAAAATATATTATAAATATACACTTAGGACATCATAAATTTATAGCATTCTCCCACCCCTAATCTGATTTTCTCACATGGCTACAATCACCCCATTATCTAGGTAGTTTTTAATCATTCCTTTTTGAAAGACAAGCGGCTGGAGTTCTGAGAGATTGAGATTAAATGACTTCAAATTAGTGACAGAATTAGGACTAGAACCTGAGTCCCATGACACTAAATTCTTCCTACTAAACTGTACTGGCCCTTAATAAGCATCTCCTCTCTTTCTCTGAAAAAAGTGAGAGTACCATTTACAACATGGTAATCAATCAATTTAGTTGATTGATTTATTGATAAATTGAAAGATTTATTGAGCACCTACCATGTGATAGGCACTGGGGATATAGTAGATGGTATCAAGCTTGCATTCCAGTGGAGAAGCAAATAATGAACGAACCAATGAATGAATGAATAAATAAGTTCAGGTAGTTATTAGTGCCATGAAGAAAAAAAATAAAGGAGAGTAAGAGGATAAAGAAATGATGGGGCACTATTTAAAAGTGTGGGTAGGGAAAGTTCTCTAAGGAGCAGGCACTCATACAGAGCTTGAAGGAAGTGAGGGAGCAAGCCATGCAAATATCTGGGGAAAGAACGCTCCAGGTAGAGGCCAAAGTAGAGGTCTTGTCTCTCTGCAAGGTCAGTGGCTCTGTCACTATTGAAAGAAAATAAGAAAATTCTGAAATTTTTTACATGATAGATTGATAGATAAATCAGTAAGGACCAAAATCTGTACGAAGGGTGGTTTCAGAGCCGTCTTTTAGGGACTTGTAAACACTGAGTATTTTGTGTTTCACCACCACCAGCATGTAGACAATTCAAAACTAAAGCAATACTAAATTGAAAAATATAAAACTTCTAAGAACACTGAAATTAGAATAGCTTTTTTTCCCTAGATTTTTCTGATTGCAAAACCCTTGATAAATTCAGCTTAGTATAGCAATTGAAAGTGTTCAGGAAACAGGCTGCTCAGGTTCAGTTCCTAATTCTATAACTTATTAGCTGTGTGACCATGGGCAAATTAATTATCAGTTTCCTCATCTGTAAAATAGGGGTAATAACAAGACCTTCCTCACAGACTGGTTGTAGCAACACAGTGAGTTTAAATACATGGAGGGCTTAAAACCACGCCTAGCACAGAGTAAGGTTTCAGTCACTGTACGTTATTATCATCAAAGCTGAACTTTTCTCATTTTCTGCTGTTCCTGGCTAAGCACATCAGGAATTCAGAGGATGGTTGGAAGTCTGGAGATTCTTTTCTCTCTTTTACAATTTGCCTCTAAGTCGTTCCAGATTAGTGGTGGTGTAGGAGAACTGCCAGATGCTTTAAAGGATCTAATTATTTCCAAGTTAATTTCATTGTTACTAAAGACTTGCTGATTTTTAAAGACTTTTTAAATGTCATAATGTTGACAGAAGCCTGCAATAATTCTGCCAGGTGGGGTGACAGGTGCACCCAAGCCTGTTCGGCCACTTGAATTAGTCATTCACTATGCCCTTTTGGATTGAGACACACTTCTTTTTCTATGTAGCAGCATATGCAGTGCTCACTATTCAAATTAGATACTTTTGTGATGTATAATTAATAACCTAGTTTACATTTGTAAGTTTTCTTTCAATAAAACAATGAAAATTCACACATTAAAAAATTTTTATTTTAAAAACTTGTATAGATTCATTTCCACTCTTGTATAAATCACATGAGAAATAAAATTGATGGAACAGCCTATCGTTATGAACATAGCTTGTAACCTTGACTTCAGTTACAGACACAAAAACTGAGAGACCTGAATATAAATTCTGCCTCATTCACTTGCAAGCCGTGTGACCTTGGTCAAATTAACCTCTTATCACTTGTAAAATAGGAATAATAATAATATCTACGTCATTGGTTTGTTGTAAAGATTAAAAATGTTGTAGGCTGGCCCCGTGGCTTAGCGGTTAAGTGCGCGAGCTCTGCTGCTCGCGGCCCGGGTTCGGATCCCGGGCGCGCACCGACGCACCACTTCTCCGGCCATGCTGAGGCCGCGTCCCATATACAGCAACTAGAAGGATGTGCAGCTATGACATACAACTATCTACTGGGGCTTTGGGGGAAAAAATAAATTAAAAAAAAAAAGTATTGTATGTAAAGTGCTAATACAGCCTCTCATATGTGGTAACTACGCAATCGCTGTTTTTATCGTTATTGGTGTAAGATTGTTATTCCTCAAGGATCTCCATCACTACATCCATTTCTAAATGCATTCCCCCAGCTCACTTTTATTCTACCCTTTTCTTTATCCACTCACTAGTATAACCCAATACTTCTAAGATTACTTCCTTTTAACTAACTTAGTAAAATTAATGAATCTTAACATTTATTGAGTACTAAGTGTGCTAGGCACTTTCATATACATATTCTCATTTCATCCTTACTGCAGCCTCGTAAAGGTGATATTTTCACAGGTAAGTTATTTTCGTCTCAGAGGGTTAGTAGGGTTAGTGACTTTACCATGGTCACTCAGCCGGTAGATGGCAGCGCTGAAATTCAATCACTGGTGTTTTTTTCTTCACTGGGCTAAAATATTGACCCTATTTACATGTTCCAGTCAACACCATTAAAAATCTTCCTTTGCTGCAATAACTCAGGGAAGGTGCTATTATTATTTTTCTAAATGTTAACTAAATCCCTGGCTCTATTTCTGAAGTCCTAATTCCCAGCTATTTCTTCTTGGAAACCATATTGAAATTATCATAGGTCACAAACACATTCTGATTTAAAATTATCATTAAGTTGAGAAAATGTGCCTATTTTAAATGGAATCTCTCAAGTGAGATTAAAAAAAATCCAAAGTATAACAAAATATGTCATATAAAGATATGGATTCTTCTCTTTTCCTGTTTCAACAGGTATGTCATTTCAGCACCAAAAGTACTCCGTGTTGGAGCATCTGAAAATATTGTAATTCAAGTTTATGGATACACTGAAGCATTTGGTGCAGAAATCTCTATTAAAAGTTATCCTGATAAACAATTTACTTACTCTTCAGGCTATGTTACTTTGTCCACAGAAAACAAATTCCAAAACTCTGCAATCTTAACAGTATGTATTTATCCTTCATTTTCTTTATACATAGAGAATATTCTCAATAAAATGTGTTCAAAGTTTGAATATTGACAACATAGAGAGTTGATCATTTATACCACTCTCCACTGTGTGATTATTAGATGATGTCAGTTGCTAATGATAATATGGGTGAAACAAAATTCTGAATAGGAGAGCTGTGTCTGCTTTTTTAGCAATGCATGTAAATTAACATTCTTATTGGAAAATAAAATTGTACTAATGTGAAAATATTTGGAAATGAATTGAGAATACTTGTTTACTGTGAAAATTACCAGTATAAAGAAACAGCTATGAATATGCATATTGATCTGTAATGCATTGTCTACAAAAATCCATGGATACTATTTAACATTTGTTTGTTTAAACGCCAATATTCCACAATTATAGCTTCCAAAATTAATAAAATTATTGATTATTAAAGTGAATAGCTCTCATTGATAACCTGTAGCTAATAGAAAGAAAAACCTGGATCAAATAACTTTTCCTTCTATTAAGAAATTATAGGATAGCTTGGTTAGAGAAGTGCTTGCAACTCATTTGTTATTAAAAATTCTGATAACTAAAAATAACTTTCATACTTACTATTTATTCACTCTAGTGAATAAATATAACCAAAATATTGTTTTAAATTCTGTTATACTTTCAAAAATAAAGAGCCAGAAAATTAAAGATGACTAGACTTAGAAGGGGCTCTGAGATTCATTTACACCAGTCTTTCTCTAAAGTGAATTATTTAAAAAGAAATTAAAATTTGAAATTTCATAAGGAGCTTAACATTAGAATTATATCAATATTTAGAATTTTTAATTTATTTTATAAATGTGTTTTGATTTTATAATTATAAAAAAGTCATAAGCATAAAAAAATTATACCTAGCTTTAGGTTTGTACATATTTAAGTAACATTGTAATAAAAATAATTTTTTATTATATTGTAAATAATAAAAAGTCAACCCTGAGAGTCCTCCAGAACCCTTTATCCTTTAAAAGGGGTCTGTATATTACTTGAGTTTGAGAAACACTGATCTAAATAAATGCTAACCAAATATAGGAATTCTTTCATTAATGTTCTTGATGGCAAATGCTCTAACCTTTTAACAAATACTTCCACTTATTAGGTTTATTAAGAATTAAAATTCATTTCCCAAAAGTGTTATTTTCAACAGATATTCTTATCTGATGCCACTAGCCACGAATGTGTGACTGTCACCTTTAAATTTGTCAATCAAATTTAACTAAAATAAAAAATTCAGTTCATCAGTCACACGAGCCACATTCCAGGTGCTCAAATAGCCACATGTAATTGGTGGTCGCCATATTGGACAGCATAGATATAGAACATTTCCATCATCACAGAAAATTCTATTGAACGCTGCTGATTTAGGTGGTTAATTGAAAAGGTAGATTAAGGCGGGGACTCATAAAAATCAATGCATATCTTCAGCATTTAATTTTATCTTAACATTATAATGTATCTTTATTTGCCGGTTGTTTCATGTTGTGTTAAGTTCTTTTCTTTAAGTATGGATCCACTGGTTGCAGTGTCAAATGTTTATTATGTGTCACACCTTTAACAAATCATCTTTGTTCTACAGTTTCTGTTTCTTTAAAGTGGAGATAGAACTTAAAGACACCTGCAAAGCAATCTGAGCACAGAATATTTATAGATTTTTACTATTTTCCAAACTTTTACAGTACTCTCACACATCTAATTCCACAGCAGTTGGTTTTAGTGATTAACTTCTACCCCATGTTTCCAAAGCCTAAGTTTTCATACAAACACTTTTCTTTCTTTTATTACTTTTTATGTATTAAATTCACATATCATGCAATGTAAAGTGGATAATTACAATCATATACACAAATTGGAAAGCGTGCTGCTCAACCCATGGGAGCAGAAAGATGCAGATAGAACACAAAGTATACTGAACATCAGTCAAGATATTGAATTGAGGGAATGGAGAGCACGGGCTAATCCAGCAAGCTGAAAGTTTGTTAAGAGACCTTCTATAGCAGTAGTTTTGCTAAATGCATATAAAATTTAGGGAACATGGAACCAAAAAGACTTTCAATTGCTTAAAGCTAAATTTTGATTATTATATTTGGCACTGAAGGGCTTTGGGCAAAATTTATTTACTATTTTGGCTCCTCTATTATTTTTTAAATGACTAAATATACATACTCATTTTCTGTTCTAATGAGATTATAGTGGTATTTAGAAAATCAACGTGTTTTATAGTATTAAAATTATTATACTCTTTTCCATCAACATTTTCTTTTACAGCTACAACCCAAACAGTTGTCTGGAGGACAAAACCCAGTTTCACATGTGTATTTGGATGTTGTATCAAAGCATTTTTCACAATCAAAAAAAATTCCAATAACCTATGACAATGGATTTCTCTTCATTCACACAGACAAACCTGTTTACACTCCACACCAGTCAGGTAGGGTATAGGATGCTTCTTTCTCTGGGGGGAAAATTGACACTATATTGTAGAGCTTTTTAACACTTAAGTGGAGACAGGTTTCTAACTTGCTCAAAAGAGTCTCAATTCCCAATGACTTTTACACTTATAAATTCCATTTTAATTTTGTGTATATGGAAATTGCTAGATAAATAATTAAATGGAATTTAATTTTAAACTTGTTTGATTTTAAGTATAAATTTTAAATTCACATTGAAATTACAAAATCAACAATTACATTATCTGCCCCATCAGTTATTTCCAAGTAGAAAAAAAGCTTTTTAAAAATTGTGAAATGTTGTGTTATATCTTATTTATTAAACATATATAAGATGTAATTGAAAATATAATTTTGACAATGGGTAAATAATTTATTATAGAGCCATATTCATTAAAAAAATTCCATTACTTTGGAGCTAATCCTTAAATTCAGTAAACAAATCTACCCCTAGGGGCTCAGCTGTTTCAGCAAAGAATAAATCAGATCACAGAAATATGTGGATATTAATTTTCTAAGGTGATCTACCTAAGAAAGTTCCTGTTAGAAAATTATTTCATATTCATGGTTCTTCTGTTAGAGGGGGAAAGGTCATGATAGCCAGTCAAAACTCTGTGATTGAGGAATGGCTGAATTTATTCCCAATGAACTAAAACACAGAAAAGTGGAAATGCTGCCCAAATATGTTTACTATTTTCCAAACTTTTACATATTTTCCAAATATGTTCATGTGTGTGCAAAATTTTTGATCCCTCCATCTCTCCCTCTTGCCATCATTGACTTTTGAGCACATCAGAGATGGAATTATGAGAAAACTGTATGTGGGAGGGGGAGGTTATGAAGTAACGATATTATTGGTAAAGAACAGGAGAAGGGAGGTGGGACCAGCCAGCTTTGTTGAAAAGCTTTTCACATAGTGCATCCTTGCTAAATGTTGGTTGATGTTGATGATGACAGTAGTGGGGTGGAATGGGCTTACACCATTACCATTTCAGCAGGAGCGCCTGTTATGATCAGCTAAGAAAGGAAAGGCCTAGAGGGGGCGGGATATTGTTCTTGGCTTGGACAGATTATCATTGTCAGAATAGTACCATCTTTTGACTCCAAAGAAGATCACTTGGTATACAAGGAAATAGTCTCTGCGCATAAAGCTTGGGCCCTTTTAAACGTAATCATGCCTAGAAACAAACATATCCCTGCCCTTGTCATCCTTTATTAGGGGATGTTTCATTAATTGGGTCCTGTTGATACTACCTATCACTTAGGGTCCTCAGGCTTTGTCCAATGAGTAGTCTGATACCTAGAGCCTGGGACCTTTCTTAGCTATCAAGCCCTTCCTTAAGAACAGCCTCATTTATTATTTCTCTATCAGGGCTTTGCTGTAAGATGTGTTATCCTCATCTATTCTAATCACAGAGGAAACCTAGAGAACGTCCTTCTAAATATCGACCCATTAGTGACAGGAAGTGAACTATAGGGGTTAAAAGCAGACTCTGGAGCCAAATTGTCTGGGTTCAAATCCCTGCTTGAGCTGTTATTAGCTCTGTGATCCCATACGAATTACTCAACCTCTCTGAACCCCACTTTCCTCATCTGTAAAATGCAGATAATAATAGAACTTACCTAATAGAGTTCTTGTGAGAGTTAAGTGAATTCATACGTGTAAAGCATTTAAAACAGTGCCTAGCACAGAATAGGCTCTAGGAAAGAGTTTTCCATTATTATTTAATCTGTGGAGTAGCACAAAGCCTATTTACACAAAAGAAAAAGAATTACTTAAAAATAATTTTTTAGGGGCCAGCCTGGTGGCGCAAGCGGTTAAATGTGCACTCTGCTGCGGCGGCCCGGGGTTCGCCAGTTCGGATCCTGGGCGCGCACCAACGCACCGCTTGGCAAGCCATGCTGTGGCGGCTTTCCATATAAAGTGGAGGAAGATGGACACAGATGTTAGCCCAGGGCCAGTCTTCCTCAGCAAAAAAAAGAGGAGGATTGGCAGATGTTAGCACAGGGCTGATCTTCCTCACAAAAAATTTTTTTTAAAAAAAGTAATTTTTTAAAAAATTGATTAAATCTTGCTATTTATGGTTCTAATATCCCAATTGACACATTTAATCTGAAGACCCTTGAGAGATTTTTAGTATAAGCATCTTTAGGATAAAGGCTTAAATCTTCAAGGCTTTATAGAATAAGGCTTTAGAATATTGACCAAAACCTTCAATTCCATACAGCCTGTCCTGCCTTCCCCTCCAGCCTCATCATCTACCATGCTCCCCCTTGTCTGTGGACACCAGCCAAATTGACCCCTTTTCAGTTGCTGTCTCACATCACTTTCCCATCTATATTAAGGCCTGTGTACTCTGCCTGGTACATTCATGCCCTTCCTTTGCCTTGTTAACTCCTACTTGTCATCACAGGACCCTTCTAGAGGGCCACCTTCTCTGCCTCTCTGACCGCTTCAATTCTCCCTCTTCTACACGCTCAGAAAGCCAGGCGGTGTCATCTGTAGCACTTCCCACCCTGGAATTTTGCATATACTTGTGTGATTGTGTGTTTGCCTCTCTCCTCCACTCCATGAGAAGACCTTCGTGTCTGATTTGCCTCAATACCGTATCTCTGTGCCTAACATAGTGCCTGTACTTAGAAGACAGGCAATACATTTTTTGAGTTATACTTGACATGCAACATTGTGTAAGTTTAAGGTGTACAACATATTGATTTGATACATTTATATTGCAATATGTTTGTCAACAATACATTTTTTAAAGCCATATCTTTGGTACAAAAAATTTTATTGATCTTACCTCCGATACACCATCACCGTGAAGACAAGATTAATTTTCTAGCCTAAACACAGACTGGGTTAGAAAGTAGACAATAATAATGATAAAATAAAAATAATAAAAATAATTTTAAAATAATAAACATTTATTGATTAGCGCTGGGCTATGCAAAAGCTTTGTCTTATGTAGTTTTCACAACACTATGAAGCAGATACTGGCAGTCCTGTTTTACAGATGAGGGAACCAAGATTTAGAGGGATTAAGTATCCTGCTCAGGGCCGGACTAGGAAATGGCAGAGGCAGGAGTGAAACCACAGCTTTGAACTCCAGGGTTTGTGCTCTTAACTTTTGTGACCTATTGCCTCTGGCGGCTTCCCAGTGATGCTTAGGCCTGGACAGGATGTGTTCATAAGGCAGGAGGAAGGATTCAAGGTGAAAGACAGGAGTGAGGGGAAGGAGAGAGGAGAGTGGGGGTGGGGGAAGGGAATTTACTGAGCATTTTGCTTTGATCTTATAGTCTTAGTGAAACCCGTTTTAGAGAGCTTAATGTGGCTTCTTACAAAGAGCTTTGCATAATACTGACCTGTTAAAAGATTTATGGCACCAGTTCAATTTTATTTTGTGAGTCAAGTTTTGGCCATGAATAGATTTGAGCATCAGCAAAACCCTAGAGAAATTACAAGATGTCATTGGAAGGAGCTAGATCATCAGTCTCAAACAGCTATGAGTTAAAAGCTAAACAGATGTGTTTGTTTAAAAGATGGAGATTAACTGACAGAAAGAAAGGGAAGAGAACTAATCATTATTGGGCCCTTGACATTAGTCTTTTAACAATGAGAGAACAATTGGAGGTTCTGGCTCAATAAATATGACAAAACCATATAATTCAAACCTGCCTTTTGTAACATGGAGATAATTTCAGACCTTGGTGGTTATTATAAGGGGAAGAGTATATAATGTCTACATCAAACTATCTAATTTTCCATTAAAATCTTCAAGTCTAATATGAGACAATATATTATACTCCCATATATTCATATGGTAACATCACTTTCACTACCATGAAATTCTTGATAAACAATTGCCTAATTTTGTACTGCATATGTATTTCAAAAAACTTGTATGTAAATATATCTTAATAAAGCGAACTGTACTTTAAATTCACTAGAAGTAGCTCTTTAAAGGACTCCAAGAGGATTCTCTTTAAAAGAAAAGAATCTTTAGTAATGTATACATCTGTAAACTAATTTATTCTTTCTCTTAAATATGGATTTTTGTGCACTGATTTTTGTGATTGAGGTTTTTTAATTGACTCATCATTTTTAAGGATGATTATTGTAAAAAAAATCAAAATACCCTTGTGTTTAGCAGAGTTTTGATGATATCAATTGTTCTTACAGTAAAGGTTAGAGTTTATTCACTGAATGATGACTTCAAGCCAGCCAAAAGAGAAACTGTCTTAACTTTCATAGTAAGTATGTTATTTATTTAGATAATAATTTAACTCATCTTCAGAACAAGATTGTTCCATAACCCTGCCATAACACTACACAAACTCATTCAATGTTCAGTAAATGGTTATTGAACATCTACTGTAAGTATAACATTGTAGGTCTAAATCTCTATAATAGACGTATGTAAAAAGCTCATGAAAAAATCTCAGCAAGTTATGATTTTGAACAAAACCATTTAAATATATCCTTCATGATTTCTTTCTTAAAGAGCATCAATCACTAAGAATTAATTGAATACCTATTATGTGTGAGATTTTTGATTTGTACAGTTCAAGATAGTTACAATCCGTAGTACTTGCACTTAAGGAACTTAGAGGTGAGTACTCACACATGCGAAAAATGGTGCTAAACTACGAGACAAAGATCAGCAGTTATCAACCTTGGATCAGCCGTGACATTCATAACAGATGATATGCACGTGTGCAATAAACGCCCGTGGTCTTACTCAGTTTGGGTCCCAAGCTTACAAAATTTTTGTAGGAAAATAACTGCTCACCTATCAACAGTAGGTGTATCAGTAATGGTCCTTCACTATAGGCTGCAGCACATTTTCTCCTATCCCCCGCCCAAAAAAACTTATCAGAACACAAGTGAAAAAGAATGATGTACAGGGATAACTTTGAATCCTTTAAATTACAAAAATTATAACCTTTTCGTAAACTTTAACATTTAACTATTTTATAATTAATTACTTTTGAAACATCAGAGTGTTCCAAGATTGTGGTTGCTAACTATTGATATAGACTGTAAACTCCCAGAATTCAAAGAGATTAGGGAGGCCAAGGGACACTTCAAGGAAGAGATGAGATTTGAACTGCGCCTGGAACAATGAGTAGAATTTAGATATGTGGAGGAGAAGTAGGAGGATTGCTAGAAAACGAAGGACAGAGCAGAGAGTCAGAAGTAAGAAGGCTAGGACAGGACCTGTTTTAGTCATACAGAAGAGAGTTAAATCTCTTCTAGATAATTTAGACTAGGATACCCTGGACACTGATATATACTTTTTTTTTGATGAGGCAGGAGATGAAAGAGGGTCCAAAAAGAGGGAGAGAAGTGGCTTAAATGAACCACATTTGCCTTCCACAACATTTAAATGATCTTCTTCCTTCATATTTAATTTGAAGACATGGATATTTGTTAGTAAATATTTCTGTAGATCAAAGATAATATCATCGGTTCATTTTTTTAATGTGGTTTATGTGCTTTGAAGTTGTTTGTTTTTATTCAAAGGATCCCGAAGGATCAGAAGTTGACGTTGTAGAAGAAAATGATTATACTGGAATCATCTCTTTTCCTGACTTCAAGATTCCACCTAGTCCTAAGTATTTTAAATTATTTGTTAATAAAGTTTTCTCTGAAAAGCACATCTGGAACTTTTGGTTATCAGGCAGATAACAAGTCAAATGGAGCCACCTAGTGTTAACAAAGTGTGTCAGTGTGAAGGACAGGAGGATACCCAAAATCTTTTCAAGTCTAACGAGAAGCTAGGCTCAGTTTCTGGGAAAAATATTTCCGATACTTCTCACTAATCTTCGTTACACATAGAAATTAAAATTTGAAAAAGGCAAAAAATAGTCCCCAGGTTTTTTTTTTTTTTCTTCATCAAAACCATCAAGACTCTACCCATCAAGAAATCTAATAGACTATCAGTCGGTAAGGCTGGTGTGGTCCCATGCCTTGCTCTGGGAGTTATAAAAATATTGGTCCTCTGTAGTCTTTGCTGCATAGATTACCAGAAGGCAGATTTCAAGAGGGAAGGTGTTCTTGGAGTCATTTCTTCCATTTGGCCTCATGCTAAAGGATTTAGGAACATGAGTAAACAGAATCCAATATAATAAATATTTAGTGAACACATTTCTAGTATGGGCTGAGTATAATGGGAATGAGAGATTCAAAATAGAAAGGAAAAATTAAGTCTCTGCCTTCAAGATACTTATAAGAGTAGGACAAATAAGATAAGTGCACCTATAAATGGCTACAATATAACTTTAAAGCAAAATCTTTTTATAGTCATTTTTGCTGTGCCCTGTAGATGGGATTTTGCAGTTAATTCACTGTACTGAAGATTTTCTAGAAATTTGGATGAAATTGAAGGAATTGAATAATTTGGATAACTTTTAAATTGTATATGTCTTTGAAAATACTGCATGCTCTATAGCACAGAATTGATCGTATTATTTTATAGCTATTATCATTTCTCCAACTTCATCTCATGACATTTGCTCCATTTGTCTGTCATAACCAGTACTTTCCCACCCCGGTACCTTTGCACACGTTGTCCCCTCTGCTTAGAAGGTGCTTCACCTTGCTCTTCACAGGGCTGGCTTCTTCTCATTCTTTAGGACGCAGAGTAAAGGCTCCCTTTTCAGAGGCTATCCCTGGATGCACCATCTAACGTATTCCCTCTCTTGCTTTTACTCTCTTGCTTATTTTCTTCATGGCACATATCTCAATTTTATAAGTATTTATTAATTTACTTGATTCCCCATTAGACTATAAACTCTTTGAGGACAGGGGTCTTGTCTATTGCTCACTATTGTATCTCCAACACTTCAACATAACAGGCATTTGATAAATGTTCACTGAATTGATGATGATGATGATGATGATAACTATAACATTAAACTTTTTTGGTTGCATAACCAATAAGCAAGGTAGATACTATTTTTCCCATTTCACAAATGAGGTTAAGTAACTTGCCAAAGTCCAATCTGCTTGCAAACAGAAACGTGGGAATTTGAACTTCCATGGACTATGAGCTCTGTGAAGATAAGGACTCTTCTACCGGCTCATTTTTTATCTCTAGTGCTTAATCCAGTGCTCAATAAATACTTTTAAATGAAGGTCGTTAATGAAACCCAGGTCATTTTCCTGTTTCAACAAATCATACTTTGTCTTCAACCATAATTTCATTTATGTGAAGTGTGAATTTTATGATCTGGATAGGCTTGACCTGTATTATATGTTTCTAGAGACATTCTTACGGATTTTCTACTGTAGTGTGGATTTTAGTATTATGTTAGTAAAATTAAACTCCAGGATTAAGTAAATTCTCAAGTATCATAAGCTCTTTAAATCGAACCTATTGACTACATTAAGATAAAATAGCTGAAAAAAATAACACAATGTATGAAAAACTAATTACTAAACCATTTCTATTATCCTGAAAATGCTCAATTATTTCTATTTATTGCTTAAAAATCTGTCACAAATAAAATATATTACTTAGGCTATAGACATCTTTACTTACTTTTCTCTCTTTAAAACAAGAATTGACTAATTTCCTCTGGGAAAAATATTCGATGACTTCTGTAATTTTAAATATTTTGCTTCCACAGATATGGTGTGTGGACAATTCAAGCTAAATATAAAGAGGACTTTTCGACAACGGGAACTGCATATTTTGAAATTAAAGAATATGGTAATTTCTGACAATTAAGCATTTACCTTTGAAGACTTAGTGTTTTTGCAATAATTCTTTTCGTTGATGAACTTAATGCCGAATCACTTCCTGATGAAGCTGAGGGAGCCTGCTGGTATAGTTAGAAGTACTGGTTGAGGGGGTGGGAGGTTGTTCGGATGCCTGAGCTCTAGTTCCAGCACGCCCTAGTTAGCCTTGAACAAGCACATCAGCTTCTCTGGACTTGTGTTCCTCATCATAGAGCTGGGAGACACCTAGTCCCCTGAGGAGGCTGACTAGCTAAGGTCCTTTCCAGAATTATGATTTTAGGAGAAACTTAATCAGAGATGAGATGAGCGGAATGCAGTAAGACTAATAGATGATTTACTCAAGTTATTACAACCAATTAGTGCCACAACAAGAGCACCTGGATTTCCTTACCCCTAGTCCAGTGTTATTTTCCTTCTGGTTCACAGATCCCTAATATATTTACCTGGAAATTTAAGATATTCTTATTTTTAAATAAATCATATGAATGGACTAGTAATTAACATATAAATAGCTTAATCTTTCCATTTCTTGTCGTTTTTTACTAAAGTATTTGTGTGCTCTGATATCGAATTTAACTTTCTTTGCTTGAAGTCATTTTTTATTCTCCCAGGAGACTCATAATAATATGGAGAATAAATGCACAAATTTTAGCAATTGATGAACAAAACAGTGCCAAAAGAAATTTGTTATAATGAAACTCAACTTTAAAGTTATAGGCTCTCAATAACATATAATCCTAACTATCTCCCTTCCTCCAAATGTTTTTGCTGCTTCCTGTATATATCTAGAATTCATCCACCTCTTACTACCTGCAGCCACCCGTTGATTCATCACCAGGCTCCCTCCTGGACTACTGCAAAAACCTCCTAATTGCTATCTCTACTTCCAAGCTATTCTTGCTTGGTATTAGCCAAAATAATCTTGAAATGCAAATCTCATTAAGTTATTTCACTATTGAACAGTCCCCAATAGCTCCTCATCGTTTTTATAATGAAAGTCGAAATCCTTATTTTGAGCTGGCCCCTGCCTACCTCCTCTTCAGCCTCATTTCACACCACTCTTCCCCTCACTTCCCTCCAGCAGTGGTGACTGCATATGATGTTCCATCTACCTAGAACACTTTTCCCTTCCCTCATTGCCTAAGCAACTCCTACTCACCTTTCAAGTCTCAGTTGAAAAGACATTTATTCAGCAAAGCTTCCCCTAAATTCTCTTTGCTGGGAAGGATTCCCTGTACTTATTTATATCAGTTTTCATAACTGGTTTAGGTGTTTATCTGTCTAATTATTTGCTTATGTCTGTCTTCCCTGCTTGACTGTGAGCTCATTAAGAACAGGGTTTGTATCTGTCTTGTTCACTAGTATATATCCCTGTTGATAAAAGTGTGTCTACTACATGGCAACTATGTATTAGATGAAAGAATGAAATATTTCCCTCCACTTCATATCCTGGAGAGAACATACCTGCCTTGATCTTTAATAACATAAGAATGCAGCCCAGAGCAACAAACTGCATTGCTCTCTTACATCTGGCCTTCACCATCTAGGAAACACATGAGCCATATCTGAAACCAACTCTCTCATGTACTCTCGTGTGTCAGTCTTTGCCCACAATATCAGGGACACGCAATCACCCAGTTTTCTGTTAACTGTTGTTCGGTTTAATAGAATTAAAATCCATAAGCTCTGGTACATGGTCTGAGTTGGTATAAAGCAAAGCCAGTGCCCTTTTGACAGGTGACATTGTTTTCTCTTGGGCAATCAAGATACCAAAGAGACAGAAAAAAACCTCCTTCCTTTCTGTCCTAATTTCTAATTTTGCATGGATGTTTTCTTATAGTTACTTGTAAGCTCTCTCTTCTTGACAAAAGTCAGAGTTTTATGCTGGAATTTGGAGACTGGAGACAAGAAAGAGAAATGTTAAATAAGCAAGAATTTTCCTTTGCTTTTTTCAATTTAATAAACATTTGTTGAGCATATGTTTAAGACTTATGAGGTGGGTGAGGGGGGAAATATACAAAGATAAATAGAGACTAGTCTGTTTTGTTTTCAAGGAGCCCATAATCTAGTGGAGGAAATAATCAATTGTCTGTAATAAGGGCTGAAATCAAAGGATAAGCAAAGTGCTTCTGGTACAGAGAAAATGGATTGACCTCTGATTGGCAGAGTGGGAGGCTCCCCAGAGATGTTGTTGTTGATGATGATGATGATGAAGAAGATGATGATGATGATGAAGGTGATGATGATAATGACCAGGTGGATGTTGTGTTGATGTTACAGCTTGTCCAACTATACCAGAAAGTATAATTGGTTGCCATGCTTTAGAGGCTACTCTAATTTGAACAGTAATATTGCCTTTTTGTTTTTATTTTCAGTGTTACCGCATTTTTCTGTCTCAATAGAACCGGAAAATAGTTTCATTGGTTATAAGGACTTTAATAATTTTGAAATTACTATAAAAGCAAGGTAAGAAAGTTATTTTTCTCCCCAGATTATCCACCTAAATTGAGTGTCAACTCTGGTTGGTGATAGTTGCCCAAAGTGAGATCTGTGATTTTTTTCCCAGCTTTATTGAGATATAATTGACATGAAACATTGTGCAAGTTTAAGGTGTACAACGTGTTGATTTAATACTTATATATTGCTAAGATCTGTCGTTTATTGGCAATGTCTGCCATGACTTTGGAACTGACTGATTGAGGAGACATCATGCCTGTAGTTTATTTGCTCATTCTGATTTTAGCTGATTCTGATTTTAGCTTTGTTGGTTATTTACCAGCCAAAAAATCCTAATGATTTAAGTTCTGTGTATATGTTTAGGAACCAGCATAACTAGGGATATTGGGACTGAGATATGAAGCCTTCACTACTTGTCATTTTTTAATGGCTTAGTCAGCCAGCTAATGCTGTGTAACTACTTCACAACCCAAATGCTTAAAACCACAACTGTTTATGAGTCAGCTGGGCAGTTCTGTTTATCTGGACCAGGCTGATGTCAGCTAGACTCACCCATGTGCCTGCAGTCAGTTGGCAGGTCAGCTGGGGTCTGGCTGATCTAAGGAGGTCTTACTCACATGTCTGGCAGTTGGCTGGCAGTAGACTGAAGCTACAAGGATGATTGGACCATGTGTCTCTCATCATCCCACAGGCTAGCCTGTAGCGGCAGCACTGCTCAAAGAGAGAAAATGGAAGCATAAAAGTCCTCTTGAGGCCTACGCTTGGGACTGGCACACCATCACTTCCATCACATTCTTTTGTCCAAAGCAAGTTATAAGACCAGCCCAGAGGAAATAGACTCCCTTTACACCCTTTGCATGCAAAGAGCTGCAAAGGTGGTGGATACATGGGGAGGTGGAGAATTGAAGTTAATTTTGCAAGCAATCTACCACAAAAGCTTAGGTCGTTTAAAAATGACAATATAATGTAGTTATTAATAACAATAACCAATTTATATAACTCTATGTGTTGGCACTTTTCAAAGCACTCTGTATATCTTAGCTCATTTAATCTTTATGAAAACTCTATGAGGTAGATACTATTACTATTCCCATATTGCAAACGAAAAAACAGAGATACATAAGTGTTAAGTAATTTGCCCTAGGTCACACAGCTGATAAGTCACATGGCCTGTCTGGTTCCAGAGTCCATGCCCTCAAATGCTACCCCATACTGTCTTTCTTACTAATGTTTATCCCTCAAATAGAGTGTTTGTCACCTAGTTTAAACCAACATAAAAGGCTCACTTGACAGAGCATTATAGAAATTGGCTTCTTTTAATGGAGACATTTACTTTATTTGTTCAAATTATGAATAAAGAAAGTTAACTCTTGCTATAGTAGTGTTTGCTCTGCAGAAAGTTTTCTTTATTCGTACTTTAATTCTAAACTAAAAAGAAAATATGCAGTTAGAATTTTAAAAAATAACTTTTTTCATATAACCGTGAGATTGGACATGCTGCTTTTAAAGATGCAAAAGAAAATAGGAAGCAACTCCCCACTGACATCAAAAATCATCGAGGAAGTGAGGTGTCCTGTAGGAAAGGCCCCTGGACCTGAGTCATTTGATCTCCTAAAGATCAGTTTTTTCATCTAGCACACAGTAATAAAAATCTGTCCTTTGGCTTTATTTTATTTATTTATTTATTTACTTTTGGTGAGGAAGATTAGCCCTGAGCTAACATCTATTGCCAATCCTCCTCTTTTTGCTGAGGAAGATTGGCCTTGGTCTAACATGTGTGCCCATCTTCCTCTACTTTATATATGGGATGCCTGCCATAGCATGGCTTGATAAGCAGTGCGTAGGTCCATGCCTGGGATCCGAACCTGCGAACCCCAGGCCACCAAAGACGAGCGCATGAACTTAACCACTACACCACCAGGCCAGCCCCCATACTTGGCTTTGTTATTGTAGCTTTTGAGGATGAAATTCAATGGTGGATGGAAGACACTTTAAAGTGGATAGAGTGCTTTATGTAATTTCAAATTGTTACATTTTATCTGAATTTTATTATTGTAACCATGTTAGCAAAACAATTTTATGGCATTATTGTTTGACAGATATTTTTATAATAAAGTCGTCACTGAGGCTGAAGTTTTTATCTTTTTTGGAATAAAAGAAGACTTAAAAGATGATCAAAAAGAAATGATGCATAAAGCAGTGCAAAACACGGTGGTAAGATGTTAAGACACATTCGCTCATGCCTAAAGACGTATCATGAATGCTAGAGACGGAACATTACTTGAAAATCATCTAGTCCAATTCCTTGTTTTATATAGATGTAGAAATTGAAGATTAAAATCCGCCATTGGCCTCTCACTGTCGTTAGGATCAAGTCCACTTTCCTCGGCGCCAGCCCCACCTCCAGCCTACCTCATGCCATTTTCCCCTTTTCTCTCCTTTGTGTTCATCCCTCCAGTTTCTCAAACTTACCCTAGTCTCTCTTGCCTCCAGGTCTTTGCAGTGCTTCTCCTTCTGCTTGGGAATGCTCGTTACTTTTTCCCCTCCTGCCTCTTCTTTGCCTGGCTAATTCCTTCTCATGCTTTAAGTCTCAGCTTTAATACCCTTTCGCTGGGAAGTCTCCCTGACTCCTCTAAACTCCTGCCTCTTCCAGGTGCCCCCTTAGGCCTTGAGCCTCTCTCAGCGGAGCATGTTTCACACTATATTACAGTGGTTCTCAACCAGGGACGATTTTTACCCCCAAGGAGACATTGGGCAATGTCCAGAGACATTTGTGGTTGTCACAACTGGGGAAGAGGGTGCTACTGGCATTTGGTGGGTAGAGGCCAGAGATGCCGCTAAACTGCAATGCACAGAGCAGTGCCCCACAACAAAGAATTATCCTGTCCAAAATGTCAATGGTGCTGAGAACAAGAAAACCTCCTTTATTGTAATGGTTCATTTACTTTTCTATCATTCTCTACACTAAACTCTTTGTGGATCTGAATTGTTCCCATCATATGGCCAGAGCCAGCATGCTTCCTGTCAAATAATAGGTGCTCTATAAATATTTGTGGGCAAACGAATTCATTGGAGAGTCACTTGTGCATGGTTAAGGGCTGTAGTGGTTGCTGGAGCCAAGACTAGAGCCCTGGTCCCCTTTTCCCTTGTTCAGCGCTTTTTACATTATACCACAGACGATAAGGGCTTGTGTCACTCTGCTCGCTGTTGCATATTCGTGTAGTTTTGCATCATCAGTTATTTAGCCTTTGCCTTTTCAAAACACAGTTTTATTTATTCAAGATATAAATTAGATGCCTCTTTTTAATGCAAGATTCTATGTTAGACACAATGCTATGCTAGAGATTTAAAGCTAAATAAGACAAAAACCCCTGGCCTCAAGGTACCCAATTTTAGAAGAAAAAATAACGCAAAATCTATTTTACTGTTGTGGTTAATAATGAAATAATATGATATCATTAGCCCCATATCCCATTCCCCATTGTATGCTTTTAAATTGGTGTTTAAATATGTAAGCAGTGAAGTACAAATTAAATATCATAAAACCCAACAAACTATCAGTTAAGAGCAAAAGCTGAGAGGCTTAGAAGGATGGATGGTGACTTGGAAGTCAGCTACCACAAAAAGACCTCTTGAACCATGCGATGTTTAAGACTCTTGCATGTCTATAATTCCCTACAAATAAATTAGAAAATAACATTCGGACTTAATTGTGGACTCACAATTAAAATTAAAATTAATCACAATTAAAACATCATTCATTTTACTGACGATGCTTCCTCTGACATTTGCCTTCAATTTAGAGGCTAGTAAAAGCAGATTTTGTTAATTTTTCCTTGTAAGTTCTTCCCTGAAATAACTCTTTCATTTTCCCCTTTTAAAAAGTTGATAAATGGAATTGCTCAAGTCACATTTAACTCTGAAACAGCAATTAAAGAACTGTCCTATGAAAGTCTAGAAGATATAAACGAGAAGTACCTTTATATAGGTGTGACAGTCACAGAGTCTACAGGTAAGTTTCTTTTTTTTTTTTTAACTTTCTCTTGCGAAACATTTAGACAGCATATTAAAGGTATAAATAATTTCTACAGTTCTTTCATATTTTATTTTATTTCATAGTTAAATTTTACTCTTTATATCTTTAAAAACTGGCGTTAGAGTATAGCTCTGCCTCCCTCTGGTCATTGCGTCCCTATTTGCCTCAACTGCAAAAATGGGATGTCCCCTGCCCAGTTGATACCCTGAGTGGCTCTGCAGGCCATCTGGCTTGAACATCTGCACCCCAGTGTTCTCACCTGGTGAGAATCAAAATCAAAATGACACTATGTATGTAAAAATGCTGGTAAAGTACCATGCAAATGAAAGATATTACTGTTATCATTTTAGTCTCCTGTGCAATAATAAAATTGAAGCAAATGCCTCCTAAAGCCTTTTTCAGGTGTAATATTCAGGAATTCTATCTAAAATTGGAGGTAATAATGTTTCTAAAATGGGTACAATAATAGTATACACCCCACAGGGCTGTTGTGAAGATCAAAAAGTCAATATATGCAAAGCACTTAAAACAGTACCTGTCACATAGCAAGGACCTTATAAGTGTTAACCCTTCTCCTCCTCCTCCTCCATTTCCTCCTTTTCTTATTTCTTCTCCTCCTCCTCCTCCTTAGGTCCACCTACCACTTTCTTAGCATCCTTAACATCTTGTCTAGTGCTCTCAATCCCACTCCAGTGGTTTTTTAATAGTTATTAATCATTTTTCCAAGTTGGGTCAAATTGTCTTACTTCTAGTACGTCTTGATTACTAATGTTCTTTGTGCTTTCAGGTTTATATTGAACCCCCAACTAACCTTGAACTAATCATTTAACCACATTGAGTCTGTTGGGTGAAATGAGAGTCAGACCAGATGATCCCTAAGGCCCCGTCAACCTCTTTGAATTTGTCCTTCTAGGGTGGCAGAATGAAGAATTGAGGTCATTATCCAGTTATTGAGCACCTTGTATATATCAGATGCTCAATAGATGTTGGAGAATAATGGTAACTTTATATTCCTTCCCTGACTATTGGTTTTGACTTTATTTTACTGTTTCTTTCTTACTTTTTTTCTCAATTTATTTCAAATTAATTCACTTTAGACAATATTTACAAGATGTTCAGAGAGTGCTGCTAATCATGCAGGCTTACAAATATGAATGATGTATAATCCCAGCACTCACGTGGCTTATAAATTAGTACCAGCTATAAGCCAGGTAAACAAACAACTCTGTTACAAGAAGGACTTCCGTTTGTGCTCTAAGCAAAGTACTTAATGCTATGACCTTCATAAGAGGGTGAGCTCCTAGATGATTGTTGAACAACCAGGAACGGTGTCCTGAAGATTATCAGTCTTGAAGGATAAGTAGGGTTTTGAGGCAGGGATCATAGACAGGGTGAAATGGGGCACCCTCCAGAGAGGGCACATAACAACGGTGGAAAGCAAAGCTTGATCTTTGAGAATAGCAGATTATCCAGTTGGCTGAAGTACAGGGTACGTATGGGGGGTGTCAGGGATGTAATATTGGAAAGCAGTTTGGGAATACTAGAGTTTTGTATGTTATTCTTAATAAGCTTAAGTTTTGCTTAAGTTTTAGCTGGAGGGTAACACTATTGGGCTCTGCCAGTGGACCCTCAGGGTTGTCTCTACCTCAAGCACTGTTTTCTGTCTTCCTCTCCATTGCTCTCCATATCCCTGAACTCTAATGGTGAACCCCCTGTAAGGCTCAGTCTCTGGCCTACCCTTTTCTTCTCTCGTTAATCCTTTGTACACACACAACTGAAACTCAGACCACTGACAAAAAGCGATATCTTCGCATTCTTCCTCAGTCCAGTCCTATAGCTCTATTTCCACGAGGGGTATCTCTACATACAAGCCTTGTCCATAAGGCTTTGGAAACTCCTGAGATCTAAGCTGTTCTCTGCACTGCCCCTCTGAGCCATGACCCATGTCCTACTTACCAGTGGTAAATGAATGAGTGCAGGAACAGAGTGAGTGAATGAGTAAGCACGTGGAGACAGAGAGAGACAAAATACATACCCATACAGATCATTATACTCCTGAAAAACGTCAACATGATCCTTGTCATTTCTTTAGGTGGATTTTCTGAAGAGGCAGAAATTCCTGGCATCCAATATGTCCTCTCTCCCTACACACTGAATTTGGTTGCTACCCCTCTTTTCTTGAAGCCTGGGATTCCATATCCTGTCAAGGTAGATGAAGGGGGGAGAGCTGCTGAATATGATGGTCTTTTTCTGTTTACAGAAAACATGGGGGTGGCAAACACAGGAAAGATGCTGAAGAGGCAAGCACGGAGGGAACTCATTGTGTGAAACCTGCCCCTCCTGTGGGTGCAGACAGGGGCGGGAAACTGCAGGCCAGCTTCAGCTCAGCAATGATTTCAACCCTTAGGGCAAGTGTCGGTATTTAGGTAGACAGCCTGTGTTAGGCATTCCCTAAATAAGCAATGCATTAAATGATATGTAAATAAAACCCCATACATCTATAGTTTAAAAAATACTAACATTTAAAATTATTTGGTGGCAGGTTCTTGAAAAGCCTTAAGATAGAGATATCATTCGTTGACGATAAACCCCTTTCTCTCACCATTTTTTACTTCTTGTGTGTCTCTGAGTTTGCATTCCTGTGCTTTTCGCTCTGTATTCTCTTCGTGTATAACTGTCTGATCTCGTCTCTCTGTATTGTTCTCTGTCCTTTCCATCTTGACTCTGTCCCTGACTCTCTTTTCACTGTCTTTTTTTGCTGCCTCCTTACTCTTTAGTATTTTCTCTCCTTCCTCTGCTTTTCCTTTTTTAAATGCTGATGGTATGAAGTTAAAACATTCATTTGATTTTTTAAAATTATATTTTATTATATTTATAAAATGGAAATTCTGTTTCCTGTCCTTAATTTAGAAAGCTAGAGCAGAATGTTTTATTTTCTTACTCTTTGAAAACGTGTTGCTTTTAAAAATCAACTTTAGTATAATTAAAATGTGTTACTTGTTACTCACTGTGGGTCACTGGATTTTAAGAGAAAAAGATTTACCAAGCCCAAGCAAGCTTTGGACATGCCTGTAGCTTCTTATATACATATATAATATATATAATAATATATATTACTACATAATCTGTTGTTGTTAGTGCCCTTGAGCCAATTCCGACTCCTAGCGACCCTGGGTAAAGCAGAGCAGAACCCGTTCTTTTCAAGCCATCCTCTCACCTTCCAGCGCTCTATCAGACAATGCTCTGCTGCTAGTCATAGGGTTTTCATGGCCAGTTTTTTTGGGAGTGGGTGTGCCCAGGTCCTTCTTCCAAGTCTTTGTTAGTCTGGAAGCTCTGCTGAAACCTGCCCACCATGGGTGACGCTGCTGGTATTTGAAATATCTGTGGCATAGCTTTCAGCATCACAGCAGCACGCAGCTGCCACAGTATGACAACCACAGATGGGTGATGTGGTTCCCTGACTGGGAAATGACCCCGGGCAGCAGTGGTAAGAAGGCCAAATCTTAACCACTAGACCACCAGAGCTCGCTATTACTGTATAATACATATGATAGCATATAATATATTATGGATAATATATAGTAATATATAATATATCATAAAAGATCATAAAATATGTCATTATATAGAATATATTTATATTATTTTTAAATATCTTTGGGGGCCAACCCTGTGGCATAGCGGTTAAGCGTGCGAGCTCTGCTGCTGGCAGCCCGGGTTCGGATCCCGGGCGCACACCAACGCACCGCTTGTCAGGCCATGCTGTCGCGGCGTCCCATATAAAGTGGAGGAAGATGGGCATGGATGTTAACCCAGGGCCAGTCTTCCTCAGCAAAAAGAGGAGGATTGGCATGGATGTTAGCTCAGGGCTGATCTCCCTCACAAAAAAATAAAATATCTTTTATATATTTCATATCACATATGAAAATAAAATATATCTTTGTGGAAATTATGTATGACCATAAACATGGCGATGCAAGGTAGAGGTTAAGGGAAAAAAAGATGCGTTTATTGCCTTTCATTTCCAAGAGAATCATTCCCAGAAGCGATTGCCTCATTTTCTCCTTTATCCAGTCTTAAAAGCAGTTGAAGAAACACAAAAGTTAGATAGCAAATCTTATCACATCTACTTGGTGGACTTAACAGAATGATATTTATGTTCTTATTCTGTTTGATATACAGGGAATCCATTAAAAATGATTTAACTAAATAGAATTAAATCTTTCTATAAGCTGAGAATACGTGTCTGTTTACTGAATTAAACATGAATAATTTATTCTTTGGTGGGGAGGAAGGAAAACTATTTCAGAATTGTTATGCTTTAAAAGAAGTGATGAGCTGTTGACGTGGATTTGGACTATTCTGACAAACAGGTGCAGGTTAAGGATTCGCTTGACCAATTGGTAGGAGGGGTCCCGGTGACCCTGAGTGCACAAACGGTCGATGTCAACCAAGAGACCTCAGACTTGGAGTCAAAGAAGAGTGTAACACGTTCCAGTGACGGAGTAGCTTCATTTGTGGTTAATCTCCCATCTGAAGTGACGGTGCTGGAGTTTAACGTGAGCCGAATTCTCCTGTTAAATTTTCTAGGACAATGTGTACTTTTGACTGTGTGTTTTGGCTAGTGTGCAGAACAGATGCGGCAGATTTTATACATGAGTCCAGTGAACAGTTCCACAATTTTGCATCCAAAAAAGGGGCAATCTGCTAATCCATTGAACGGTCCTTGAGAAAGATAAATCTATCAACTTTTTATTTGGGAATCATTATTTTCTCTTACATCAGTAAGACTATATTAGAATCTAGAAGCTTCAGAATAGGTATAGCAGTGGAAGTCAGTGGTAGGAATATTCTCTTTATTCTCCCTGTCATTTTTCATGTCTTTTCAGGGCCACAAAAGGGTCAAATGAAGAAGCCTCCTTTTTCTCTAGCCGCATGAACAACTCCACCTTAGAGCTCACTTAATAGTCTTCTCTCTCAGCAAATAAGTTTAAGTTCCCAATCCCAAATAAAAAATGAGTAAGTTAATGATGCACATCAATGACTGCAGCGTGCGCACATTCACTATCATCTCCTGAGCGCTTAAGAAGTGCTAGGCATTGTGCTAAGAGCTGTATGTGGAACACATTTAATTCCCATTTAAGCAGCTCTATGAGTTAGAGAATATTATCTTTGCTATTATGCAGCTGAGGAAATGGAGGCTTCTAACCTCTCTTGTGATTAAATAACTTATCCAGATTTAATAAATGGTGGCCCTGGGATGCAAACCAATGCATATCTCATGCCAGAGCATGAGCTACGAACTCATTTGCTGTCAAAGGTGGACATTGCTGCTATGATATCATTTCTGCCCCACTCCATGTCTATAAGAAACTCCTCTGTGCCACTACTTCCAATGAAACTGGGCCAGAGAGTCTCTGTGATGTTCATCCGCAACTCCTGTCCCCCAGTTCTCAAAACCTCTCCATCACTACCTTTCTCTTACTCCAATTCCCGCCATCCCAACCCATAAGGAAGAGGAATCCCCAACTTGCCATGACTTTTCAGGGAGGCTGCCAATGTTTGTTCCAGGAGCATCTCTTTCTCTTTGCTTCACCAGACTTTCCCACCATAACCCATAATCCCATATTATCCCAATTATTGTCCATAGTCCTTCATAAAGTTACTTGATACCACAGCTGTACAAACATTGTAGTAATGGAGGATTTATTTCTTTAGCATGTGGTGTTGTGAAATTTAGAAATTTAGAAAGCAAAGAAAGGAGTTTAAAGGGTATGTTCACAGAAAACACTACATCATAGTCCACTTGTCCTTTTTGAAATTTTCCTTTTCAGGTCAGGACCGATGACCCAGATCTTCCAGAAGAAAATCAGGCCAGCAAAGATTACCGAGCAATAGCATATTCATCTCTCAGCCAAAGTTACCTTTATATTGACTGGACTCAAAACTATAAAACTTTGCTCGTGGGAGAACATCTGAATATTATTGTTACCCCCAAAAGTCCATATATTGACAAAATAACTCACTATAATTACTTGGTAAGTAAAATAATGATAGATTTACAACTATCTATTCCTCCATCTGGAACATTTTCCTTTGCTTATACAGAAGCATTAGAATGACCCCTTACATTTGTTTTTACAAAGCACTTTCAAGAACATCATCTAATTTGCTAATCAGGTTTTCAAAAACCTTTGCGATAGGGCATGATTTTGATGACCACTTCACAGATGAGGAAACTGAGGGACAGAGAAGTTAGAAGACTCTCCGTGGTCACTCAGCTTGGAAGAGGAAGATTTTGATTTGAGCTGGGAACCTCTGACTCCTTGTCTGATACACCTTTCACCAACCAGAGCCTGATTACTCCGCAGAGAAAGCCTGATTAAATTCTCACATTACCTCTGCTGTATTTCTGGCCAAAGATTGCACACCTTAGACCTATTTCCAATATGTGCATTTCGTTGGCATAAATGGGGGACCCAAATCCTGCTCTTCCGAGTTGAGTCATTTCATGTCTGCTCCAATTCTACAGCTGAGCAACCTCCCTATTACGTAATTTTTATTAAACAGAAGTGGCCAATCAAGCCTGTTGGTGAAACCAAGGAAAGAATGTGCAAAACATGATAAGGGCTTCCCAACAATTGCCAAAGAAATAGAACGAATTATTCCAATGGCTAGGCCAAAAAGGTGGTGATGGCTTTTTCAACATTTTTGAGGAAGAAATTAAAAAATAAATGAGAACCATAGATTATAATAACTGATAAAGAATTGGGGGCCCTGTTTGGGGATTACACATACCAAAACCACGTATGCAATCCTGCTCTCTAAGGATAATTTAAGAGATCTTTGAGGACATTTTGGCTTCATGTGATTTGTAAATTTTTTTTAACATTATGCCTCCAATTTAGAACCTAATCCCTGGCTTTAAAATTTAATTGCAAAATAAGATGCAGTCCACCTACTCATCTATTTTTTTTTTTTTAAGACCGGCCCTGAGCTAACATCTATTGCCAATCCTCCTCCTTCCCCCCCGCCAAAGCCCCAGTAGATAGTTGTATGTCATAGTTGCACATCCTTCTAGTTGCTGTATGTGGGACACGGCCTCAGCGTGGCCAGAGAAGCGGTGCCTCGGTGCGCGCCCAGGATCCGAACCCAGGCCGCCAGTAGCAGAGCGTGCGCACTTAACCATGAACCCACTGGGCCGGCCCTCTATTTTTTTTTTAATCAATAAAACAAAGGAGATTTTAGTGACAGTACGATGACTTTAAGCAGATTTGGGGTCAAAATTTAGCTCTCTGATTTCTAATTTAGGTGATTTTGAACTAAAATCAATATGACATTTAGTTAATTCCTGAGCCTCAGTCCCTTCATCTGCACAATGGGGATAATATTGCCATCCTATTGGTTTATTGCGAGAATTAAAGGAGTTGAGTATACGTAAAAGTTCTTGGCACGTAGTAGGCCCATACGTGTTGACTTTCTTTTTCTTTAACATAATTTCTACTCCAGCTGTGAGCTCCATCCTGAAGCAAAGGTTTTGTTTTTGTAGTTATTGTTGCTACCACTGTTTATTTTTAGATTTTATCCAAGGGCAAAATCATTCACTTTGGCACAAGGGAGAAACTTCCAGATTCATCTTATCAAAGTATAAACATTCCAGTGACCCAGAACATGGTTCCTTCAGCCCGTCTCCTGGTCTATTACATCATCACAGGAGAGCAGACAGCAGAATTAGTGTCTGACTCAGTCTGGTTAAATATTGAAGAAAAGTGTGGTAACCAGCTCCAGGTGAGTCACGAATTATAAGTCACAATCAAATTTTCTTCTGAATAAAGGAGACTGTAAACGCAGCTACCTGTGAAGTTTTGTCTCATACAATTGGCCTTTTCTTTTCTTTTTCAAATGACCTCTTAGGTTCGTCTGTCTCCAGGTACAGATGTGTATTCTCCAGGTCAACGTGTATCTCTTAATATGGCAACTGAGTCAGATTCCTGGGTGGCTTTAGCAGCAGTGGACAGTGCTATATATGGAGTCCAAGTGAAAGCCAAGAAGCCCCTGGAAAAAGTTAAGTAGTGCGTGGTCTTGGTTACTGGTGCATGCTGTGGCTCTGTGCAGTGCTTCACAAAGTGTGGCCACCAGGGTAGATTGTGGGGGAAGAACTGAGGAAAGAGTAGGCCTGCTTTTCTATAATCTACTCAAAACGGTGATTCTTAGGAAGGTAAGCCGTCCTCAGGTTAGTCCCCAAGGGACAGGCCAATCCTTTGTTATTTTTCCAAGTGTAGAGTTAAGCGTTTTAAAAACATATGACCATGATAGCAATAATATTCATGGAGCGAAGTACCATCATGTGGGAGGGTTTGGGGATTTGAGAGAAGGTGCTTACACTAACAGCACAAGAGAAGACTGGATAGGCAACCTCTGGAGGGGGGGAGTTTGTTTACTCATTAAAATCTGTGGTGCAGAAGAATTTGAAAATGATGCAATGCCCCTAAGTTCCCCTTTATCTCCCCTATGCTCTGCTACTATTTTCGAGGGTTGAATTTCTTTGAACCAAGAAGACAGAACTGAGAAACTATAAAGTTAAAAACATTCAGAAAAGAAAAGACTTTTGGGGTCAAAATTAAAACTGGAATAAGCCCCCCAAAACAAGTTCTCACTCAGTTAGAATCTAGAGCCCTAAAACACAAGAGATTGTGCTCCTTTTTTTTTTAGCAACTTAAAAAGTAATTTTTTTGTTAATTCACTCATTCATGCATCCACTCATTTATTCTTTTTTGGAGGGGGAGGGGACATTATATTGATTGCAGCATGCATTTTATGTATAAAATGCCATGGGTTGGTTTCTAAGAATCACCTCATCAAAGCTCAAGACTTAGTTCTTGATTTAATTTTGAATAGGTATGTATTTATAAATACAAAGGGACAAACTAAAGAAATTTTGGGAAATTAAACTTGGGAAATTTGGTCTTTGGCCCTATGGTAAATGAGTGGCCTGTGTATTTCACAAGTTTGTTATCAAGTAACAGTTCATATCTTTAGTTCTTTAGAGGGATGGTTTATACATCTGAATAGGCTCAACATTTCACCTTTCTGGACAGGTGTTTCAGGTGTTAGAGAAGAGTGACCTGGGCTGTGGGGCAGGTGGTGGCCGCGACAATGCAGATGTATTCCACCTGGCTGGACTCACTTTCCTCACCAACGCAAATGCAGATGACACCGAAGAAAATGGTAAAACGCTCAGCATTTTTTGTTTCTTTTTCAAGTTGACTACTGAAATTTACATTATTATTTGCTCCCAGACCTCCTTTTTGTCCATCCTCCAAGAATATTCTCTACACTGATCTTAGAATGACATAGCTACATAACTCCCCTGTATAAAACGTTTTATTGGGCTTCAAGATAGAGTACAAATTCTTTAGTGTAGTACTCAAAGCCTTTCATGATCTTCTCCCTAGCTCTCTCCAACTATCTCTCATCCTGCTCTACCTTACCTTATGTTTAATCTATACAGAACCAAGGGTAGCTCTTGGGTGGCACTATGCTATTTTACACCTTTGGGCCTTTCCTCATCAGGACTGCTTTCTCTTTTATTAGCCTGGGGAAGCTAGTGTAAGAATCATCTCCTCTATGGGGCCACTTCCTCATATAGAACTGATCATCACCTCCTCTTTTAATAGGGAGAATATTGTAGAGACTAGATCTATTTATAAGTAATATAATAGCAGTGCATCATTGCACATTCTTACTCTTGGCGATACATCTTTTCTCAACTACTGCACTGTGAGCTCTTTAAGGGTGAGGACCACATCTTAATCATCTTCTTTCTATGGTTTTAAAATTGTTCATAATTATACTTGATACCATTATTTGTAATAATATAGCACAAATGACAAACAATAAAAATAGTATACCCAACAAAAACTTTGCTAACTCTAAGTGCTTAGGTATTTCTCTGTAATCAGTGGATCAGAAAGTTTTCAGGATTCGAAACCAAACTCAGATCAAACAAGTCAAACTATGTGACACTAGATCATGAGCTCCTCTAAGATAAAACAAGTCATATTAAGATGTGTAGTACACAATGCCTAGTTGAAAGCAGGCACTCAATATTTGCTGAATGAATGAATGACTTATGAATGTTTTAAAAACTTCAATAATTTCATATAATTTTCTTTTTTGAGATTTTATTATTTTTTTCTGTCTTCTTTATCCTTTTTTTTTAAACAGATGAGCCTTGTAAAGAAATTCTCAGGCCAAGGAGAATGCTGCGAGAGAAAATAGAGGAAGAAGGTACTCTAAAAGTTTCATATGATTGTGAAGAGGTTATGATCATAGCATTCAAAAAAACTGGAGAAAACTAAACATTATCTAATTTCCCCTAATTCAAATAAAATAGGTGAAAAGAAAGATATATACAGACGTCTAGCTCACCTCCCTCAGAAAGATTAATCCAAATAAATCCAGCAGTTCATTTGCCATAACTTTAATCTAGGGAAAATAAGTGTTTATTATTTCTATCTCTAAAGTCTAAAAGATTAACTTTTATTTGTCACAAATATGTCCTCTCTACAAACTTTAGCAATTAAAATCATATTTTATTTTGACAAAATCCATGATTTGATTAACTTTGGGGTGTACCTGGAAATCTATTTCCTCTATTTCATATATTTAACAGTTAATAGTATTTTGGATTATTCTTTGGGAAATAAGTCTAATAGAAATTATTTTAAAACAATTATTTAAATGGAAATGTGATAACTGGCAATGTTACAAAAGCAATACATTGAACTGAGAATCTGTGACCTGAGTTCAACTAATAGCCACACTTACAGTAATATAATCCTTCCATTTGTATATGAGTTATTTTCATTCTAACCCTTGTTCTAAGTTCTAATGATATGAAAAGAGAGACACCAATTAATCTGAGAACTTAATGATGAAGAATGATGCCACTAGTGAAGGTCCACAAACCATATCATATAAGAAATGTTTGAAAAAATAGGATATTTAGCTTGAAGAAGGAAGTACTTGTAAAGTAATGACAGCTATCTCCAAATATTGGAAGTCTTCTCAGATAGTTAACTTATTTTACTCAAAGGGTGCTGAACCCAAGGAGCCAGTTTCAAGAGTTAGTTCATTGAGCTTAGTTGCAGGAATCCCTTTAACCATTTAGTGTGATTTGGAATGGACGACCTTATGAGGCCACATTCTCCCCATTCCTAAAGTAGTTCCAAAGAGGGGCTGGTCAGTCAACTAGCCATGGATATTGTGGGAGAGGCGGTTGTATGGCAATAGAAAGTAGATATCCTTTGAGTTTCCTTTTAAGCCTGAGATGTTATGACTCTATTCATAATCAAATGCACTTGTATTATTACCACTTCAGCTTCCAAATACATACATGTAAAGGTAAAGAGATGTTGTTATGATGGAGCCTTTCTTAATGAACATGAAACCTGTGAGCAGCGAGCGGCACGGATTACGATAGGCCCAAGATGCGTCCAAGCTTTCAAGATTTGCTGTACCGTTGCAAAACAGATCCGTGCTAACGAGACTCATAAAGGCGTGCAATTGGGAAGGCTACGTAAGTTTGACATTTTCTATCAGAATTCTGCCCAATATGAAGAATTTTGTGTAATTTTATGTTGCTAAGAAAGGTGATTTTCATGTTCTTTGAAAATAGAAAGTAGAAAAGATAATTTATAAATGCCCATAAGAAAAAACATCTGTTATCATTTTTGGGAATCAAAAGAGAGATGTATAGTATATATGTATATATATACACACAGAGCAGAGTGCGCTAGTCTATAGTCAAGACCCATGGCAAGTTTAAAGCTGACTAATTCTATAAACTTGAATGACTAGTTATCCTCTCTGAGCCTTAACCTCATTTTTAAAGGAAGAAACTTGGCCCAGATGATCTCCCATATGGCTTTGAGTTCTAAAATTCTATGGTTTTGTGATATTACAGCCATTAAAAATTCTGTTTATACCTATACTGACCAAATATAGCAAAAGATTTCTAAATCTAGCCTAATGTTAAGCGTACTTATGTAAAAGTTGAAATCTTATTTCAGTTTCAACCACAATATATGTTGTCAGAATTTATAGAAATCTCATTAATATGCTTTTAGAACTTTTAGGACTTTTGTTTCATTTCTATATAGTCAAAACAAAACAAGCAGAATGACAGCTCTTGTTTCATAATCTGATTGTTTTGCTTAACAGTATGTCTTAAACATTGTCCATTTGAATGGATATATTTCTGCAAACATAAATTCTTGTGGCTATTTACCAAAACCACATTATTGAATATATATAGGTTGTTTTCAGATTTTTGCTTATTACAAGCAGCATTTTCGTGAACAACATAGCACATATACTTTTCATTGTCCAATTTTTCAGCTATAATCGTCTGGTTTAGCTTCACCTGCATGGAACTCAGTCTCTACAGCTCCTTCCTCTCTGGTCCTCTGCCCCTCATTCTAAATAGCTTGGCCTCCCAAAACTCCCATCCATCCTGCAACAACTCTGCAAGGGTCTGCATGGCTTCCTCTCTCTGCCCTGTATCCTGTAAACTGCCTCCAGACAGTAAACCTGGACAATTTTAGAGTTCACCTTATCTGTCTCCCTTCTCTCAGGGATCCTAGTCCTGGGTCACTTATGCTCTAATGTCTGAAAACTGTCTTGTACAGTGTGTCTCCTTTTCTATTTTTTTAAGGCAGAGGGTAACTTCAGTCCCTATTAGTGCATCTTGGACAGAAGAAGTTCTGTCCATTTTTATTAAAGGAAATATAAATAAATTTCTGAGCTAAGGCACAGAATCACATAAATCTCCCTATTTTATAATATAAACACAATTATTACAATTAAAAAAATGCAAATAACTTTGTAGACTGATCAATATCTTGTATAATCTCAAGAACACTAAACATTTAGCAATTTGAGAAACAAATCATTAATGATATTTTTATGCTTCATTTGTTTTGTCAGTGCTGTTAGTGGAGAAATCCTAAGGCCTTTATAGTTCTATTTTGAAATCACTAAGCAAAATATTTAATTGAACTTTCAGAAAGTGCTTAACTTATAGATTAATATCCATATTTTAAAATTCAGCTCTAAGGAGAATTTGTTGTTTTTCCCTAATCAAGTATACTTGTTTCCCCAGAAATAAAGACCTTGTTACCAGTAACAAAGCCAGAAATAAGGAGCTATTTTCCAGAAAGCTGGTTATGGGAAGTTCATCACGTCTCCAAAAGGTATTATACCTCTTTGACGTTCCTCTGAAAAATGTGGGAAAATGCAAATATTATGGCCAAAAAGCTGGAAACTACCCATTTTCCAATAGTTTATTTAAGAGTTAAGACGGTGATACCACTTGGTCAAATTTTGTTCTATTTTGCTTCTTTTTTTTTTTTTTTTAATGTGTGCTTTGCTCTAGTAATTGGTTCCAGGGCATGATTAACTCTTGGGGAAGAAGGTAATTAATTTCATTCCACTTCAGTAACCCTTTACTGAGCACAACTCTGTGCTATACACTACGTCAAGCAGTCGTTTTCCTCCTGAAATATCTGTACCATAAAACAAACATTGATTAATAAGAAGAAAGTTTCTTTTCCTGTTAAAGTCCTTTACTCAACACAATTTTATGGAATGCCTAGTTTGTACCAAACACTGAAAACAGTGATGAACAGTGCTGAGTCCCCGAGCATTACCCTTCCCCTGGGGGCTCTAAGCACTAACTTTCCAAGGAGCCGTCACAGCACTGAGTTCAGGGCCTGGCATCTGTCTTCTAATGGGTCTCCTTGTCTCTATTTTTGTCCCTCTAATTCTTCCTCAACAGTGTTGTCCATTTCATCTGACATTGCCCCTTGGCTAGCACTTCCTCTTGTAAGCCTTCCCACCACGTCCCCTACCCTACAAGTGATTGGATGGATTACCCCTCCCAATTAACCTTGTTGCACATAACACACAGTATTATAATGGCCTGTTTACCTGTCTTCCACATGAAAATGTAAATACCTCCAAGACAAAGACTAAATTCAAATTACTGTCTTATATCTAGGACCTGGCATAGGGTCTGGCTTGTAGAGGCACTAAAATAAATGTGTTTAATCAATGATACTGCCTCTGAACTTTTAAAATGCTTTATTGGTGCAGTTATAACAGTGAATTGCAATTTATTTACTTAACTCTTTCTTCCACTAGACTGTAAACTGCTTGAGAGCAGAACTATATCTTATGAGTGCTGTATATTCAGTATTTAGCACTATGCCTGACACAAAGTTGGTGGACAATTACCATTTATTGAATGAAATTAATAAATATGTAAGCTTAATCTTAATTGGAAAATTTTAGTTATGTCAACTTTGTTATGGCAGTGTTGACATGCATTACTTTGCTTCCCTCTTTTAGAACATACTACACATAATTTCTTCTTTGTTTTGTATGTTTTGAATTTGCAATGTTTCCAAGGCATCCTTCTGAATTTAAATTCCTATCATACAAGTGAAATATCTAAAAACATGGAACAAGTAGGAGAGTTACTGAATATATTTTTCTTGCTTGATTTTTCCTTAATGCCTGATGTGATTTTGTTTTGTTGTGATTTTTTTTCTTTCTTCTAAAGTAGTATGAAGCAAAAGTTCTGTTAATGAATGCTGTCAAGCTGACTTAATCAGCGTTCCCCTGTATTTGAATATCAACATTTTAACTTTCAGAAACCAGTTGCAGTTTGTGCTACCTGATTCTCTAACTACCTGGGAAATTCAAGGTGTTGGCATTTCAAATAGCGGTAAGCAAGCTTCAGTTATATACTCATTTAAGGAGTGACTTGATTAGCAAATGTAGTTTTGTTTTTTTGTTTTTTTAAATTTGTATTTTATTTTATTTATTTTTTCCCCAAAGCCCCAGTAGATAGTTGTATGTCATAGTTGCACATCCTTCTAGTTGCTGTATGTGGGACGCGGCCTCAGCATGGCTGGAGAAGCCGTGTGTCGGTGCGTGCCCGGGATCTGAACCCGGGCCACCAGCAGCAGAGCGCGCGCACATAACTGCTAAGCCACCGGGCCGGCCCGCAAATGTAGTTTTTTGTTATTGTCTATTTAGTTTACCCAGGACTTAAGTGGTATCACTTTTTAAAATATTCTTTTTAATGTATTACAAAAAGACTTGGATATGCCCATATCTTTGACCATATAGAGATTTCTCCTTTGTTCTTCAATTAGCCATCATTTTATAAATGCTGATGTCAAGGCCCCATTTTCCTTTATTTTTTTCTCAGTGACTGGGAGCTTGAGTAGAGTTAGAAACAAATGTGTGACTTCTCTCCTGGGCTTATGCCCTTTTGTGGTGATTTAGTGCAGATACTTTATAAATAACTTCAGAGGTAGCTTCGTTTGTTTGTTTGCTATTGTTTTTACAAAATCTTGGCTTCCATAATCAAAATTTTATACCCATTAAATTGAGCCAACAAAGAATATCTAAAAAGAGATTTGGTGCTTTACTTGATAAACATTCTCTTGCTTTATTTAGAACTAAATGTTCATTGGACAAATGAAGTTTTCTGTTAATACCAATAATTATTGAAATAAAGATCAATGAGTAGAAAATTCAGGGACATGAGGTGACACTGCAGAGAAAAACATGATCTAATATTTATTTTTCCTTGCAGCAAAGCAAATGTGAGATATGTTAGCACTAGTAAAGCATTATAGGAATTCCCTAATGTGCTTCTACTTTGCTTTCACTTTGGGCTAAAGGTATATGTGTTGCTGATACTCTCACGGCAAAGGTGTTCAAAGATTTCTTCCTGGAAATGAATATACCATATTCTGTTGTGCGAGGGGAACAGATCCAATTGAAAGGAACTGTTTACAACTATAGGACATCTGGGATGCAGGTAAGTAGGTATTTATGATGTGTTCAAATACATAGAAAAAAGAATTCTCTAATTTTATGAGAATTCTATTAATGGGATTATTGCATACACAAAAAATAAAAATTCAACTCAGTTCAACAATATAAACTGAGCACTTACAATGAGTGTTGTGCTAGATGTGCAGCTTAATAAGTGAAGGGATGAAGAAAGGAGGAAGAGTTAAGACAAGTATTCATACAATTACAACTTGAAGGACACAAGGCTGTAAGATAATCAATGTGCTGGGACATTAGGGAAAGATGAGTTCACGTGTAGTTCATTTATCCCCCTGGACTCTGAGTTCCTTTATCTCCTTGCCTCTAACAACCCTTTCCTTTCCTCCATTTTAGCCATTCACAGTCATCTTCACTTTGTAGATCTTGTCATCTCCTCTGAAATCTTGATTTCAAACATCTCACCAACCGACCACGACCTCCTTCCTATCCTTCCAACTCATTAACCCTGTTCCTTCATAGCTACAGCTCTGCAGCATCGTTGAAACCTCCAAACCATTGACTCCGCCACTTTTTTATTGTCTATGAGCCCTCTGCTATCTTTACTTCATTCCTGGTCCAGGTTAGAATTCATAAGCCACCATTATAATCACACTGATTAAAATTATGCCAACTCCTTTGATCCTCTCTTGCTCTAGGGTACACTCTATGAAAAATTCCAACCACGGTTGGACCCACCATTTGTCTTCTTTTTGCCAGCATACCTCTAAAGAGAATTATACAATAGGCTGACTGATTTCACTTGAAAATCACAATCACGAAACTTTTTATGGGAACTCAGTGTGGTCCAAAAATCTAACTATATTTTTTAAAAAGCTCTAATTTCATTCTTACAGATGAGTATTTCAGTGGTCTCCAAAAATTTTGCTTACATACTTCCTAGTTTTTTTTGGAAAAACTGTATACTCCATTGACACATTTTTTAATTGGTTATCTAAAATTTTTCATCTTAAGTTCAAAACCACGCAGGTCTATGACTTTGGGAATATTTCGTTGTTGATATTTTTAAGATAAAGAGGTTATATCAAACTTTTAAATGTATACAGCAGAATCTAAATACCATAGCAATCCATTTTTAAATACCCAAATAAACTCTTATTAACAACAGATTATATGTCATTTCTTTTTCTCTGTGAACTCATATTTCCATTCCACTCTCCTGATGCTATATATTTTACGCTTGAATGTTTTCTATTGATCTCCCTATCATGTTTTGATGCAACAAAAATATGTACATTTCCATTGAAATTGAAATATTTTTTAAATTCTATGATTATAAGACTCGGAGTGTCAAATAATTGCTTGTAAGTATAGGTAAAATTATATTAGGATTTTGATAGGTATTGTCCTGTTGAAAAGTGACCTGCCAACATATTGAATCTTTTACATCTCTTTGTCCTTTGGCTTTATGTACTAGATCAGGGGTCAGCAATCTATGGCCCAAGGGCCAGAACTAGCCTGTTGCCTTTTTTATGGCCTGTAAGCTAAGAACAGTTTTCACATTTTTAAAAGGTTGGAAAGAAGAAGATTTCACAGTATATGAAAATTATATGAAATTCAAATTTCAGAGTCCATAAGTAAAATTTACAGTCACACTCACTTGTGTAGGTATTATCTATAGCAGAGTTGAGTAGTTGTGACATAGACCATACGTGGTGTTTTCATTGCATTGCGCTACTGCTCAGAGCACTACAAATTGCAATGACACAATTATAACTTGACAGTGTATTAAGTGACATGCATCTCACTGTACTGCCATGTTTAATTTAATTTTTAAATGATCAGTGCATTTTCATTATATCAAAACAAGAAACAAGAATATCTGTGATATCTCAGGGTTAGTCCCTATTAATTACCTTTCCTCTTGTGTATATGTTATATTTTCCTATTTCTTTATATCTAGTAATTTTGGATTGACACTTGGAATTTATTAATAAAATGTTATAGAGTCTCTGGATTCTGTTATGTTCCTCTGAAGAGCTTTCATTTTGGTTTGTGTGTTTTAGCAGGCAGTCAGCTGAATTCAACCCCAAGCTCTGAATTCTCATGTCAGTTCTTTTAGCATTAGCTGGGATGCTTAGAGTCTGTGCTGTGTGTAATTCAAGGGTTGGCCAAGTTTGAACAAAGTTTACACGCTGAACTTGGAGCACCTGCACTTTTCAGCTCTGGTGGCTGCCCAATACTCTGTCTGCTGGTTTTTTAAGCCAGTGAGGCAGCAGGTTCTACTGGGGGGTTAGCCACTCCTTAAGGCATAATGGGGCCTTCCCTCAGGTTAAAGCTGTAAAAAACAGAACTCTCACTGAGTACGATTCCCTTCCTCTTGAGTGTCACCTTCTCTTCCACTCTCTAGTGACTTCAGATAGTTTTTTTTTTTTAAATATATAGTCTATCTAGAGCTTATAGTTACTATTTGCAGAAGGATTGTCCAATAGGAACAACTTGGCTATTACTGAAAACAGAACCACTGCCATAGTTTTTTTTTTTTTACTTGATATTTTGTATCAGTTTCAAAAGTTCCTTTCTAATCCAATTTACTAAGAGTTTTTATAATGAATATGTATTGAATTTTATCAAATGACTCTCTTATATCTGTCCTTCCCCATCCTTCCCCTGCTATCCTCAGGGAATCATTGGCCTTGGGGGACCTAACAGGCTTCTTTAATTCCTGCCCCACCCACCCAGGTTGTTGTGTTTCCCAAGAAGATAGTTAAGAGGGAGAAGGAATTTTCCATTTTTGGGAAATTCCTCAAATTAGTTGTTGAATATTGGCAATGTTTCTTGTTTACCTGCTTGATTTATTCTGGATCTTATGGATTTATTCTTTTGAGTACAGTTCTCAATTCTATCAGTTCACTAGATTTTGGAGGGAAGATGAAAAGTATTCACTATTTGAGCCAGAAGTTGATAGGTACTATTATTATCCCCACTACAAAGATGAGGAAATGGAGGGTTAAAGGGGTCTTGCAACCTACTCTCATCAGTAAGATGTAAGTAAAAGGGGGTAAGAGGCAGACCCAAGATTTAAACCTAGGTCTTTCTGGAGGCAGAGTCTGGTTGTAAAATAGGGTACAAGTGGGAAATTAATAAGAGATAAGACTGGAAAAGTAAGTTGGGGGCATGTTGGGCAGGGCCTTGAATGCCAAGAGATGGAGTCTTCAGTCTTTCATAAAACCATTTGTTGAATACCAAAGGCTGAGCTAAATGATGCAAAGATGAATAAGGGACAAGGTGCCTGAGCCTGGGGCTCCCACTGTCTAAAATACAAACAGGTAAAGAGATGGTGTAACAAATGCAATCCTGACAACATGAACAAAGCACTTCAGTAGTTTCACGCCTGATTTAGTACGTAAGAGTCTCAGGAAGACAAGACATTTCTGAGCCAGGACTGAGATTTCCAGACATCCCTCCACTTTGCTAAGCAATACGGCAACTTGTGTGTGTGTTTTCAAAAATCTGAATTGAGCTTTCTCCTCTGCCTTAGAATCTGAGGGATCACTGTAACACTGGAAAAGTATCAGGGGAGAGTTTGTGTCCAGAGGAACACAGTTAGGGCATACTTTCCTTATCATAAAGTGTTTTGAGGTAATTGTTCACTGGTGATATTTCAGTTCTGTGTTAAAATGCCTCCCGTGGAGGGAATCTGTGCGTCGGGGAGCCCAGGCATCGGCCGTCAAATGGGCAGGCCCTCCAGATGTCAGCCCCAGAGAATAGAGGGTTTGTCCAGTCACTTGGTGACCTTCAGCTTGCTTCCTCTGGAAATCGGCCTCCACAACATCAGCTTTTCACTGGAGACTTCATTTGGAAGAGAAATCTTAGTAAAAACATTACGAGTGGTGGTAAGAAAAACATGCTTTTTCTGATTCTTTTAGAAAACACTTTCTTCATTCTGAAAAAAAAGTTATTGGCAACTTATGCTTAAGTGATTTAGAAAGAGAGACAGAGAGAAAGAAAACAATAATGTAAATGCAACAAAATGTTAACATTTGGAAGAATCTGGACAGAGGTTATCTCAGATTTTTTTGTACTATTCCTGTAGCTTTTCTTTAAATCTGAAATTATGTTTAGAAAATTTAAATAAAATAATGATACTTCCTTATTGTAGAAAATAGGGAATACTGAAACCACAGAGAAGAGTATAAAAATCACCAATAACCCCCACACCCAGAGATACCCAATTTTAACAATTTGGTATACAGCCTTCCAGGTTTTCTCCCCCAAAAGTGTGTCTTGAAATATATGTGCCATACATGATGCTAGGAACTAGAGTTACAACAGTAATAAGACGCAGCCCATATATTTATACTTTAGAATTTACAGTCTAGAAAATTTTCTTTATTATAAATGAGTAAACAGGCCAAAAAAGGAAGAAGACTATCATTTATTAAGTACTATTTACCCACACAGTCTGTTGAGTGTTTTCATGTTATCTTATTAGGATTAAGATGAGATTCTTGCCAAGAGTCACATGGCTAGTTAATGACAGAACTGGGTCTTCCTAGGTCTTCATTCTCTGAGTTCTGTTTTCAGCCATGAAATTCACTTCAGTAAACATGTACTAATTTATTTTGGGCAAGGCATGTTCTATGTGTCCTTGCATGGTGGTTCTATGCACAGACCCTGGAACTGGGCTGCCTGGGTTTGAATCCTGGCTCCACTACTCCCTAGCAGTGTGACATTGGATAAGTTTCTTTCTTTCTCTTTTTGTTTATTTTATTGAGGTCATAATGGATTATAACATTGTGAAATTTCAGGTGTACCTTATTATTTATCAGTTTCTGTGTAGACTGCATTGTGATCACCACAAATAGTGATCATGCCCGCCCCCCAATCCCCCGTCTCCTCTGGTAACCACTAATCTGTTCTCTTTGTCCATGTGTTTGTTTATCTTCCACATATGAGTGAAATCATGTGGTGTTTGTCTTTGCCTGGCTTATTTCGCTTAACGTCATACCCTTAAGGTCCATCCATGTTGTTGCAAATGGGACGATTTTGTCATTTTTATGGCTGAGTAGTATTCCATTGTGTATACATACCACGTCTTCTTTATCCATTCATCAGTTGATGGGCACATGGGTTGCTTCCATGTCTTGGCTACTGTGAATAATGCTGCAACGAACATAGAGGTGCATAAGTCTCTTTGAATTGTTGATTTCAAGTTCTTTGGATAAATACCCAGCAGTGGAATAGCTGGATCGTATGGTAGTTCTATCCTTAATTTTTTGAGGAATCTCCATACTGTTTTCCATAGTGACTGCACTAGTTTGCATTCCCACCAGCAGTGTATGAGGGTTCCCTTTTCTCCACATCCTCTCCAACATTTGTTATTTTTTGTCTTGGTAATTATAGCCATTGTAACAGGTATAAGGTGCTATCTCATTGTAGTTTTGATTTACATTTCCCTAATGATTAGTGATGTAGAACATCTCTTCATGTGCCTGTTGGCCATCCATATATCTTCTTTGGAAAAATGTCTGTTCGTATCCTCTGCCCATTTTTGACAGGGTTGTTTGTTTTTTTGTTGTTGAGTTGTATGAGTTCTTTATATATTTTGGAGATTAACCCCTTGTCAGATAATATGATTTGTAAATATTTTCTCCCAATTGGTGGGTTGTCTTTTCGTTTTGTTCCTGGTTTCCTTTGCCTTGCAGAAGCTGTTTAGTCTGATGTAGCCCCATTTGTTTATATTTTCTTTTGTTTCCCATGCCTGAGTAGACGTGGTATTTGAAAAGATGCTGCTAAGACCAATGTCAAAGAGTGTACCACCCATATTTTCTTCTAGCAGGTTTATGGTTTCAGGTCTTACCTTCAAGTCTTTAATCCATTTTGAATTAACTTTTGAGTATGGTGTAAGATAATGGTCTACTTTCATTCTTTTGCATGTGGCTGTCCAGTTTTCCCAACACCATTTATTGAAGAGACTTTCCTTTCTCCATTGTATGTTCTTGGCTTCTTTGTTGAAGATTAGCTGTCCATAGATGTGTGGTTTTATTTCTGGGCTTTCAATTCTGTTCCATTGATCTGTATGTCTGTTTTTGTGCCAGTACCATGCTGTTTTGATTACTATAGCTTTGTAGTATATTTTGAAGTCAGGGATTGTGATGCCTCCGGCTTTGTTCTTTTTTCTCAGGATTGCTTTCACTATTCAGGGTCTTTTGTTGTGCCATATAAATTTTAGGATTCTTTGTTCTATTTCCATGAATAATGTCATTAGTATTCCATTTGGGATCACATTGAATCTGTAGATTGCTTTGGGTAATAAGGACATTTTAACTGTGTTTATTCTTCCAATCCATGTGCGTGGAATATCTTTCAATTTCTTTATGTCATCTTCAATTTCTTTCAATAATGTCTTATAGTTTTCATTGTATAGATCTTTCACCTCCTTGGTTAAATTTATTCCTAGATATTTTATTCTTTTTGTTGCAATTGTAAACGGGATTGTATTCTTGTGTTCTCTTTCTGCTAGTTCATTATTAGAGTATAGAAATGCAACTGATTTTTGTAAGTTGATTTTGTACCCTGAAAATTTGCTGTAGTTGTTGATTATTTTTAACAGTTTTATGATGGATTCTTTAGGGTTTTCTTTATATAGAATCATACCACCTGCAAACAGCAAGAGTTTCACTTCTTCCTTTCCAATTTGGATACCTTTTATTTCTTTTTCTTGCCTAATTGCTCTGGCCAAAACCTCCAGTACTATGTTGAATAAGAGAGGTGAGAGTAGGCACCCTCATCTTGTTCCTGTTCTCAGAGGGATGGCTTTCAGTTTTTCACCATTGAGTATGATTTTGGCTGTGGGTTTGTCATATACGGCCTTCATTACGTTGAAGTACTTTCCTTCTGTACTCATTTTATTGAGAGTTGTTATCATAAATGCATGTTGGATCTTGTCAAATGCTTTCTCTGCATCTATTGAAATGATCATGTGGTTTTTATTCCTCCTTTTGTTAATGTGGTGTATCACATAGATTGATTTGTGGATGTTGAACCATCTCTGTGTCCCTGGGATAAATCTCACTTGATCATGGTGTATGGTCCTTTTAAAGTATTGCTCTATTCAGTTTGCCAATATTTCATTGAGGATTTTTGCATCTATGTTCATCAGCGATATTGGCCTGTAATTTTCCTTCACTGTGTTGTCCTTGTCTGGTTTTGGGATCAGGGTGATGTTGGCCTCATAGAATGAGTTAGGAAGCATTCCATCTTCTTCAATTTTTTGGACTAGTTTGAGAAGGATAGGTATTAAGTCTTCTTTGAATGTTTGGTAGAATTCTCCAGAGAGACCCTCTGTTCCTGGACTTTTGTTTTTTGGGAGGTTTTTGATTACTGTTTCAATCTCTTTAGTTGTGATTGGTCTATTCAGATTCTCTATTTCTTCTTGATTCAGTTTTGGGAGGTTGTGTGAGTCTAAGACTATCCATTTCTTCTAGGTTGCCCAATTTGTTGGCATATAGATTTTCGTGTATTCTTTTATAATCCTTTGTATTTCTGTGGTGTCTATTGTAATTTTTCCTCTTTCATTTCTAATTTTATTTATTTGAGCCTTCTCTCTTTTTTTCCTAGTGAGTCTGGCTAAGAGTTTGTCAATTTTGTTTATCTTCTCAAAGAACTAGCTCTTAGTTTCATTGATCCTTTCTACTGTTTTTTTGGTTTCTATTTTATCTATTTCTGCTCTAATTTTTATTATTTCCCTCCTTCTACTGACTTTGGGCTTTGTTTTTCCTTCTTTTTCTAGCTCTGTTAGGTGTGGTTTAAGGTTACTTATTTGAGATTTTCCTTGTTTGTTGAGGTGGGCCTGTATTGCTATGAATTTCCCTCTTAGCACCACTTTTGCTGCATCCTATAAGAGTTGGTATGATGTATTTTCCTTTTCATTTGTCTCCAGATATTTTTTCTTTCTCCTTTGATTTCTTCATTGATCCAATTGTTGTTCAGTAGCATGTTGTTTAATCTCCACGTATTTGTGACTTTCCCAGATTTTTTTTTGTAGTTGATTTCTAGTTTCATAGTATTATGATCAGAAAAGATGCTTGATATGATTTCAATCTTCCTAAATTTATTGAGGCTTGTCTTGTTTCCCAACATATGGTTTATCTTTGAGAATGTTCCATGTGCACTTGAGAAGAATGTGTATTCTACTGTTTTGGATGGAATGTTCTATATATATCTATTAAGTCCATTTGGTCTAGTTTTTCATTTAATTCCACTATTTCCTTGTTGACTTTCTGTCTGGGTGATCTATCCATTGATGTAAGTGAGGTCCCCTGCTATTATTGTGTTGCTGTTAATTTCTCGCTCTAGGTCTGTTAACAATTGCTTTATGTACTTTGGTGCTCCTGTGTTAGGTGCATATATATTCATAAGTGTTATGTCTTCTTGGTGGAATGTCCCTTTTGTCGTTATATACTGCCCATCTTTGTCTCTCATTGCCTTTTTTATCTTGAAGTCTGCTTTGTCTGATATAAGTATGGCAACACCTGCGCTCTTTTATTTGCCATTTGCTTGGAGTATCATCTTCCATCCCTTCACTCTGAGCTTATGTTTGTCTTTAGAGCTGAGATATGTTTCCTGGAGGCAGCATATTGTTGGGTCTTGTTTTTTAATCATCCAGCTACTCTGTGTCTTTTGATTGGAGAATTCAATCCCTTTACATTTAGAGTGATTATTGATGTATGAAGGCTTAACACTGCCATTTTATCTCTTGTTTTCTGGTTGTTCTATATTTCCCTTGTTTCTCTTCCCATGTATTTCTGACTGCCATTTCAGTTTGGTGATTTTCTATGATGGTCTTCTCATTATTTATCATTTGTGTCTCTGTTCTGATTTTTTGTTTAGTGGTTACCATGAGGTTTGTATAAAAGATCTCGTAGGTGAGATAGTCCATTTTCTGATAGCCTCTTATCTCCATTGGCCTAAACAAGTTCCATTCCTTTCCTCTTCCCCGTCTAAGTTACTATTGTCACAAATTATTCCATTTTGTGTTTTGAGTTTGTGATTAAAATGAAGTGTTTATAGTTATATTTGATGCTTTCCTTCCCCTTATCTTTAATGTTATGACTAACTGTTTGATAACCTGTTCTGATAGAGAGTTGCAATTTTCTGATTTTGTCTGTCTATTTATCTCCTTGTTCAAAGCTTTGTAAACTTTTCCTGTTTATTTCAGGTATGAGTGCATTCTTGATCATTTCTTGTAGGGGGTCTTGTGGCAACGAACTCTCTCAGCTTTTGTTTATCTGGGAAACTTTTTATTTCTCCATCTTATCTGAAGGATGGTTTCACTGGAAAGAATATTCTTGGCTGAAAGTTTTTGTCTTTCAGTATTTTGAATATATCATTCCACTCTCTCCTAGCCTGTAAGGTTTCTGCTGAGAAGTCCGCTGAAAGCCTGATAGGGGTTTCTTTGTAGATTATTCTCTTCTGCCTTATTGCCCATAATACTTTTTCTTTGTCACTGAATTTTGCCAGTTTTACTAATATATACCTTGGAGAAGGTCTTTTGCATTGATGTAATTAGGAATTCTATTGGCTTCACTTACTTGTAATTCCAGTTCCTTCCCCAGGTTTTGGAAGTTCTCAGCTATTATTTCTTTGAACAAGCTCTCTGCTCCTTTGTCCCTGTCTTCTCCCTCTGGAATACCTATAATCCTTATGTTGTATTTCCTAATTAAGTCAGATATTTCTTGGAGAATTTCTTCTTTTTTTTTTTTTAAGTCATAGTTCTTTCTCGTCCTCCACCTGAAGCATTTCTGTATTTCTGTCCTTTAAGTTACTAATTCTATCCTTCATAATGTCAGCTCTGTTTTTTAAGGTTTCTAGATTATTTTTTTATCTCGTTTATTGTGTTCTTCCTCTCCAGCATTTCTGTTTGGTTTTTTTTTTTTTTTTTTTTTTTTAGAATTTCAATCTCTTTTGTGAAAAATTCCTTCTGCTCATTAATTTTATTCCTGAGTTCATTGAACTGTCTTACTGAGTTTTCTTGTAACTCATTGAGTTTCTTTATGATAACTATTTTGAATTCTCTGTCATTTGTATTGTAAATTTCTGTGACTTCAGGATTGATTTCTGGAGACTTTCCTTCTGATCTAGAGTGTTAATGTATTTCTTCATGGTGTTTGATGAAGTGTACCTTTGCTGGCGCATAGTGGTGGCATCTGGTCGCAGATTCCACCTGCCACCACTGGTGGGGGGGCAGGAGCTGTGTTTTCTGAATCCATCATGTCCGTTGCAAGTTGTGCCCATCTGCTGGAAGTTGTGCCAATAGGGCTCATCTGCCCACTGGCCACCAGTTTGGCAGGTTACACATGCTGGCACAGGCACTCTGGTGTGGATCCACTGCTCTGGCTGACCAGCCGAGCTGGTGCACCAGGTGGGAGCAGAGGGACACTTTCTTTCATGTGTGTGAGCCTGCTCTGTACTCACTGGCAGCCCACCTGGGCTGCTGAGCTTGGTGGGCGTGCCCACATGGTAGCTGAGCTCCCTTGGTGTGGAGTGTTCCTGTGGGCTGGGATGCACTCTGAAAGCAAAGCATTTGCATGCAGGCCTGCCTGTTCCCCTACCTCTTCTTAGAGTTGCGCACTGGCTACTGCGTGCAGACCCATAACCTAGATTGCTGCTGCTGGGGAGCAGGAGGAGATCTGCTCACCTCCTTCCACTGCTTCCTGGGGATCCAGTACCCCCACCTTCAGACGTATGGCTGTGTGGATCTCTCAGACATCCTGTTGTGCTGTGTGTGTATCCTCTATTGGTTAATAAATGTCCTTTTGGTTGTATCTTAGGGGGTAGAGACTAAGGGAATAGCTCACTCTGCCATGATGCTGTCATCACTCCCTGGATAAGTTTCTTGATCTCGGTGTTTGTCAGTTTCCTTATCTGTCAAATAGGAGTAATAATAGCACCTACTTTGAGTATTTTTGAGGTTGAATGAGCTAATATATACAACGAATTTGGATCAATGACATGGCTTATAATAACTTCTATTTAAGTGTTTTCTCTGATGATTGTGCAAATAGCCAGAAAATCTTATTCCTGCGTGTATGTATATACGAGTATTTGTACATACTTTGCCTTCTCCAAAAGAAAAAGGACTTTTTAATTGGAAAAGTGGTCAAGAAAAGTTGATCCAAGGAATTCAGGTAATATAAATTTAGTTATGTTCTTAACTGAATGTTTTCTGCCTTTATTTCAGCCAGAAGGTGTTAAAAGGGAAAGTTATGCTGGTTTTACTCTCGACCCAAAGGGTATTTATGGTAAGCACCATGATTTTGTATTTTATATGTCATCTTTTGCCCTAGAAATTAAAGTGTATATGTAAACTGAAAAACTATTTTTCAAAATGTTAATTTTCTAGAATCAGAAACATACATTTCTTAGTTCATTGCCACTCTTGATAGCATGTGTTGCCCTATAATCTGGATGGGTTTAGAACAAAGAAAAATAACTCCATTAGTTTTAAATGCAAAGCATTGAAATAGTAATAATTGCATGACTTCCCTTATATATTAGTCATTTTATATCCATCACAATAATAATTTATAATATTTTCTTATAGAACTATCAGTCCAAAGAATACCTAAGAAAAAATCATTTACATACTTATTTAACATGTATTATTTGAAAACACAGCAATGCTGGTTAACTACTTAACAAACCCACTCCTCATTGTTCCTGCTTCCTTCAATTGAGATGTTCTGAATCTTCTTAGAGTTAGAATTTTGCAAACTTTTGAGCACTTAGGGCCTAAATACATGTGCATTTATGAAATTTAGAATGTGCTCAGTTAAAAATTCTTTTCAACAAAAAAGACAAACTGCCATAGTTCTTAATAAATAGTTAAAAGTTACCTTACTGTTGCATTGAATCATTTTTCTTTTCTTTCAATGATACAGCAATGGGAAAAAAAGTTTGCTTACAAATCAAGACCACTATACTCAGAGTGCCATTTCCTCTGGGATAGCAAAGAATTAAGACATTTACATTACCTTATTACTTATATTATTTTTACCCTCACAAAAACCCTTTCAGGAAAATATTATTACCTCTATTTAACTGATGAACAAGCCAAGGTATAGAAAGATTAAGTGTCTAACTCAGTGTCACATATAAAGTAAGCTCTTCCTGAACTCCATGCTCTTTCAACCACACTGCAAACCTCTTAAATGTCTTCTGAGCTTGATTTTAATATTATATCCTCAGTCTTTATCAAAGATTAATAAAGAAAGAAGTTACCTGAGGAACGTTCCTGTCTCTTCTGCAAAGCCATGTGGCTTGTCCATTAAATTGGAAAATGTCACTATTTTTTTTAGCATCTGCCACGTGCCAGACACCATACTAAGTGCTGGGAATACAGCATTCAATAAGAGATGGTTCCTGCCCTCAAAGAACTTTCTTAGCCTGACAATGGGAGTTGGAGTCTATTTGTGGTGACTTCTGTGGGCTCTGCCATAAACTTCCTGAGTTCAGATCACAGCTCCATCTGTACTAGCTCTGTGACCTTGAACAATTTGCTTTCAAAGCGTCAGTTTCCTCATCTATAAAATAAAAATAATAATAGACCTAGCATACGGGGTTGTTGTGAGGATCCAATATAACAATGCATTTAAAGAGTTTAGCAGAATGCTTCACATTCTATCAGTAGAATGATAAGTATTATCATTTTTATGAAATAAACCAATGATTACAGTAGAAAAATGCTCTGATACAGGTGTGCTAAAACTCTCTTATTGTGCATAGAAAAAAATGTCTAAGTCAGACTGAGAGGAGAAAGTGGAAAGAATTTCAGGGGATGCTTCCCAATGGAGCTAATCTTCACATTTCCTTGACAAAGGAATTACATATTAGTTATTTTTAGATTTCAGTTCTGAGAACAATTTTCTCTCTTTGGACAAAATGGCATGCTCCCTTTTACTGGTGAATAAGATTTATATAACCTATTTATTTCCTATCTTGTAATGACCAGGAAGCTTACAGTCAAATTTAATGCTTTACTGAAAGAGATTATATAAGCCTAGGGTGTGATAAAAAAATCTTCAATTATTTTTAACTTTCTTGTTAAATTTTAATATTGTTATTGTTAAGAGTTTTTTATTTAACAAAATTCTTTAGAAGTGGGTATATTATAAATAACCTGCAAATAGTCTTCCTTCAAGAACTCTGTGTAAATCTACTAATTTTTTTTTTTAATTTCAGGTGCTGTTAGCAGACGAAAGGAGTTCCCATACAGGGTACCATTAGATTTGGTCCCCAAAACAGAAGTCAAAAGGATTGTGAGTGTAAAAGGTAGATGAACAAATGCCATTTTTATTTCTTATTTCACTTTGTGCTTCAAACGAAAATCGAATATCCTCATGATTATACTATTTCTCTACTCAGTAGCATATGCAAATCCGCCTCTGGGATTACCCTAATCCTACTCCCACCTTCAAATCCCCAACCACTCTTTCTTCTATCTTCTTCCACTAGCCTGATTTAAATGGAGATTCATTCTCCCATGATGGAGAGTGGGGGTGTCATTGACCCAAAGACTTCTCTAAAATGGAGGTGCAACTGCTTCTAGACTTAAAGAACTTTCCATCATCTCAGTGGCCAGTCCTGCTCCAGAGAAGGCTTTATGACCTGCAAATGGCCCCAAGAGAGCAGCACTGCTCTGCTAAAGGACCGGTCCTGGAGGTTCTCTCCCCTCTAGTACATTTGCAGAAGTGGTGTCTTTGGTGGGTTTTCCCTATTTTCCAGCTTTATAATTCAATGACATGTCATCGAAATAATAGAATGTCCTGACTACATTTTATCTCAGGTAAAACTTTGGAATCACATGATGTTAGTACTGGAAAGGACCTTTTTAATCATGTGCAACCCTGTTGTTGGATATATGAGACAGTGTTTGCCCAAGATCACACAGTGAGTTATGGACAGAGCCCTCACAGCATTCACAGTTCAGACTCTTTGTTCTGGTTTGTGGAAGAGATTGATTAATAGGGTTTACAATGTCTAACTCGATCTATTGAATGGCAACTAATTTGCCATGTCCTCTACGCGGTAATCCACCCACTGTATTACATCATCTTACCACCATATTCCAGTGGTATTTTTAAGCCTGATTTTGGTATTTCTTTTAAATCCATCTTCCTAACCAAATCTTTTTTAAAATCTCTCCTCAGTTCTGAGAAGTAATTCAACTGCCTAGATAAGGAGGAAAGAATAGGGATGATTGCTCTTATCTCTACTTAAAATATACTGTTACTCAGTTAAAAGTTAATAGAAATTGATTGTGTTTACTTTGACTTTTGTTTGTTTGTTTCAGGACTGCTTATAGGTGAGGTCATGTCTGCAGTTCTGAGTCAGGAAGGCATTGATATCCTTACCCACCTCCCCAAGGGCAATGCTGAGGCGGAACTGATGAGTGTCGTCCCGGTATTCTATGTTTTTCACTACTTGGAAGCAGGAAATAATTGGAACATTTTTTCTCCTGACTCATTAACTAAAAAACAGTACCTGAAGAAAAAATTAAAAGAAGGTAAAAAAACTCTATTTCACATAGGATACATAAAAATCTTGTGATTTTTAAACTAATATTTAAGTTGTTATGAATTATACAAAAGCTTGATTATAAAAGCATTTCAGGGGAAAAAAATCACAAAGTGGACTCTACTATGTAAATAAATACTATTTCCTGTAGCATTTTGGCTTAACTTGCCAAAATGCCTGGATGAGAGACAAGACACCTGCATTCCAAACTCTACAGAGCACTTCCTTCCTTCTTGAATGAGCTCAGAATGTTCCACTTGATAATTCCCAATTCAAGCGATTCATATACTTCCTTGGAGAAGTTCAATGTTGGCCACAGAGCATATGCTTGCTGCCCGGCACCAAAGGAAGTGTACCATTCCCAGGGGCTAATGAAGCGCTCCTCGAGTAGAAATGGAGATCAGTGAAGCACTGTGTTCTTTTTCTGGTGCCTCTTAGGGATGGTGAGCATCATGTCCTACAGAAATGCTGACTATTCTTACAGCATGTGGAAGGGTGGAAGTGCTAGCACTTGGTAAGTAGAGGTTTTGACTTGCATTTTCATATAGTAGTTGATTAAGTAATTAAAGAATAACAATCTTAATGGAAACTCCATTCGTCCAGTTGCTCAGCCTAAAAGCCTAGTCATCCTTCGCTGCCCTCTTTCTCTTACAAGCCACATCTGATCTAGCAAATACTTTTGGCTGCACCTTCAAAATATATCCTGAACCCTACTACTTCTCACCAACCCCACTGCACCATCCTGGTCCAAGCCTCTCTCACCTGGATTATTGCACTAGCCTCCTCTGATCTTTTACCTTCAGCCCTTGCCCCTCTTCAGTCTATACTTAGCACTGGAGTAACCCTGTTAAAACATAAGTTAGGCCACACCACTCAAAACCATTCAGAAGCCTCCCATCTTACCCAGGGTAAAAATCAATCTTCTTACTGTGATCTACAAGGCCCTACATGATCTGGCCTTGCCTCACGTCTCTGACCACACCCCCTACCACTCTCTTTCATTCCACTGAAGCCCCACTGGCTTCCTTGCTTTTTCTCAAACATGCCAGCCGTGTTTTCACCTTAAGGCCTTTGCATTAACTGCTCCCTCTGTCTGGAGTGCTCCTCCCCAGGTATCAGCATGACTGGCTCCCTTCCATCCCTCAGGTCTTTACCAAAAATCACCTTCTCAGGGAGGCCTCCACTAATCATTTCATCTAAAATTGCATGCCATTCTCATCCCAACACTTCATATCCTTCTCCCCAACTTTCTTTTCTTCTTAGAATTTATCATTAACATTCTTACTTATCTCACTTATTGTCTGTCTTGCCACTAAAATGTAAACTCCAATACATGGACAGTTCCAAGTGTTCCTAGTGCCTAGTACATACCTGGCACATAGTAGGTGCTCAATAAGTACTTATTTGGTGATGCATAATGACCTCCAGAATTCTGAAGATTTGAGGGGAAAACTTTGTGAATTAATTAAAAGTGCATATGGCAGTCTATTTTCAAAAAATACTATCATGCTTTGACAAAATATTTAATAAAAACACAGTGTGCCAGGTGCTTTGTAGTTTCTACTATATGAAGCTCTTTTAAGGAGTTTATAATCTAGAATAATTGACTTTTAGATTATGCCCTTTAACTATTGAGCGTCCCCAGGATTTCATCCTTGACCCTCTTATTTTCTGTAATCTCTCCTTGTGCAATTCCATCTTTGCACATGACTCCCATAACTTCTGTGCAGACGATTCCCTAATCGATGTCTGAAGGCCTAACTTCTTTCCTAAGTTCCAGATCCACATTTCTAGGGGTCTGAGAGCCAAAGGCCCTTCAGACACAATCCATGCCAAATTCATTCTTTTGTTTCTCTGTTCCTTTAATCAGTGCATAGCAAGACTCTGTACTTTGTCCCCATTGACCCAGTTTGCCTCCTCCCTTTCCTTTTGGCTCTATATCCGATCAGTCATCAAGTCCCACAGATTGTACCTTAGAAGTAGGTCTAACCATGTGTGGGTAGCACTTTTCAAAAGACACATAAATCCTCAGAGCACGCCAACCGGAGGATAACAACCAGGAGGTGGGGGTGGAGGTTGATGCAGACTGGAAACCACCACAACAGGAGCTGAGAACCAAATGCTTGGAGAACAGAAATCTCCATGAGAAGATGTGATAGCCTTCAGTAAACACCCAGAGCCTCTCAAGAGTTCTGGGCAAGACCAAGTGGACGGTGTTCAGCCAGAAACATAGAAACACTTGGGACTCAACTCCACAAGTTCCTTGAGAGAAATATATACGTAGAAGAAAATGGCCAGCATCTAAATACTTTCAAAAAAAAAGTTTTTTTGAAAAATACAAGGAAGATACAAAAAGTGCAAAGAATAAAATATTCATTTTAAAAAGAAAAATGAAAACAAAATTTTAAGGTGAGGGAGAGAGTCAAGTGATCTGAGCCTCAAATGCATCTGAGGAGCTCAAGCGTGGGTGGTTCTTGGGCAGCTGAGTGGGTGAGGGAACCAGAGGAGAGGGGTGGAGGTGTCAGAGGCATTGAGGGGATGATAAACTAGATCCTCTCTGATATTCTTTGAGAGATATTAGTAGAGACTGAAATTGCTTTTTAACTCAGTAATCATCATAGTTAAAGCTTCCTTGTGAGGTGGCGACTTCTGCATCAATGGCATGGCTCAAGGGGAAGCGAGCTAAACACTCTTGCGGATGTTGGGGAAGGGGATTCAGACCTCAGATAGGGATTCAGGTAACGTAACTTGTACAGATTTTACAATCTAGAATTTTATGATTTTATTCTTCCACATCTCAGTTCATAGGTCAGTGCCTTGACTCAAAACTATTTGTTTCACCGCTATTGTCTTTAAGTTTAGAGTGCAGTTTTTTGTTTTGGTTTTTTTATCATCAGGCATCAATTTTTAGCTTGTGTGTGGGCTAACAATGTTGCTGCTCACATCTGTTGACTGAATGTTTTTGGACATCTCCCTAAAATCGTCCCTTCCCTTGTGAAATGGTGACAACTTACTTTGGAATTGTATGTTTTAAAATGTTATTTTCTTTTAAAGAATAAACACCGTATGAACTAAAACATGCTGTAAATTGAAAGCCAAAGAGAATCGATGTCTAAATATTTATTTATTTGATTTTGTCTTAAAGGTTAACAGCTTTTGCTTTAAGAATACTTGGACAAGTAAATATGTATGTAGAGCAGAACCAAAATTCAATTTGTAACTCTTTATTGTGGCTGGTTGAGAATTGTCAACTAGAAAATGGATCTTTTAAGGAAAATTCCCAGTATCAACCAGTAAAATTACAGGTGAGGAAACCAAATGTACAGATTAGCAATAGTTTTATTTACAAGGTTGAGTTTTTTCTCTTCCCATTTTAGGAAGACAAAGAAGAGAGGAAAAAATATATGTAACCCTGCAGGAAACTCCTCTTGTGTACAGGCAAAGAATTTGAGACATCTACTGCACTTCAAACAATTCATTATAGGTCAGATAAGTGATATCCTAGACATTTCACATAACAGGCAGTGATGGTTCACAGGGTGTAAGTGCTATAGATCTCAAACAGGTAAAACGCACTCATGTGTCCAGGTACCCTTGATATAGAATCTGTACGTGAAGTTCAGAGCCTTCTTACAGGTCAAGGCTGCCAGGTGTTGTCATGAAAGATGGGACCCTATTTACATCCTGTTTTTAAGAGAGATTGGGGTTAATTTACTAAAAAGCACAAGCGTATGTATACGCTTGAATTACAAAGTAATTTTAATACGTTTCTCTCCAAGATATCACTATAATATCTTCTACTCCTTAGAATATTTCCTTAAGAGTCAACAGTTTTTTTGTTTGTTTTGTTTTGTTTGTTTTTGTTGTTTTGCCTGCCCTAATCCAATCCCTTTTATATCAGGCACAAGTGGCTCTCTGGCTAATAGGGGTCTCATAATGGTGCTCTGTGGCACCAATAGCAGATTAGGACTCACAAGAAATGGGGGCAACTGACATCACCTTGGCGCTTTGAGAAAAGTAAAATACTATAACAATTTTTTTCTTAAGATGCCCACCCATATATCCCTCCATCCTCCTATCCATCCATCTATCCGCATTCATTCAACAACCATTCACTGAGCACCTAATACATGCAAGGGCTTATTTTGGACATGATCGGGGAGGAAGAGTGGGAAGGATGGACCAGAGAGTATCCTTGCCACAAAGGACCTCACACACTGGTAGGAAAAGTGAGGTAAAAATACTAGCAACTCTAATCAAGATATAAATGTGTGGGTTCACTCATTTATCGAATAAATATTAATTGAATGTGTACTAAGTGCTACATGGTAGGGACACAACAGTGAACTAAACAGATGTGTTCACTGAGGCCACAGAGCTTACAATCTAGCAGAGAAGTCAGACATTGAGGAAGTAATTTCAAGTGTGTGATGCATATTAAAAAAAGATAAATATAATTTCATTGAAAGCAGGGGACCTAACCTAGACTGGGGGAGTGGAAACAATAAGTTGACCAGGCTCCTGGGAGGCAGGTAGGAGAGGGGCAGGTAGAGTGTTCCAAGTGGAGCCACAGCATGCCTGGCATTTTGAAGTGGAGAGAGAGGGTGGTTCCTTCAAACAACTGGGGCCAAGAGAGCTAGAGGGTGAGTGTCATGAAAAAGAGCTGGAGAGGTAACCAACCAGAGGGCACTTCATGGAAGGTCTTCTAAGCATCACACTAGAAGGCGGTTGCCCTACAAGGGAAAAATATGGGAGAACAGAGGCCGCATGGTGCTTCATAGAGGAGGTGGCATTTTAACAGGGTCTTGACAGAGGGGGAGAATTTGAATGTGGTGCAGAGGTGTGAAGTGGAGCTTCAGGATGGGGAGGTGAGGGAGAGAAGGGCACCTGAAGACACCCAAGTAAGAAAGACCCAGAGTTTATTGGGAAATGGCAAACAGTCCAAGTGGAAGGCATGAAGGGAGAGAGGGAGATTAGGCTCAAAACAGAGATTAGAACCAGGTCATTTCACTTTAGAGACACCATTTCACTCTCCTTTTTAAACATTGCTTATTTTTAGGGTACTTTGCCTAGTGAAGCCCGAGAGAACACCCTATATCTTACAGCCTTTACTGTGATTGGAATTAGAAAGGCTCTGGGTATATGCCCCCTGATGGTAAGTAAGAGTTTTCTTTCTCCAACACCCATCATCTATTTCTGTACCATATACTGGGGAGGCCACCTTGAAAATAACTTTAACTCCAGAATCAAAGGATTTCAGGATTATGATAGATGTTAGAGACCGTCTAGTCAAACCTACTGATTGACAGTTGAGAAAACAGGCCTGCAAGTAATCTGAATTCAATTGCCCAGTGTCACAGGCTACTAAATTGTAGAGCTGGGACTAGAACAGATAACTTCTGACTGTGATGAGAGAATAATCCGGTGTCCCCAGTTTCCTTCCCTCATCTCTGCTAAGTCTTAGGATGTGTATATGACGGTTGTTCTGTAGTGAGGTACTCTATTTCATGGAACTACTGTGATGTAGTGATGGCATGTTTGTTCTTTCGGTTGTGCTGTTTTGTTTGCCCGGAAGCTAAGGGGAGAAAGGAGAGGATTCTCCCAAGTGAATCAACATAGAAGATTCCAAAGGTTAACAGAGATGATTCTCTGCTCTGGGAAGAGACAGATCCCGGAGGTGAGGTTAAATACCACTGCCTACAAATCGGAAGTAGATTAGACATGTCCTTCGTACTAGCGTACAGAACCAAGACAGAAAAACCCAAGGCAATTTGTAGGACTTGAACCACAAAATAAAGTAATTTTTTTCATTTGTTTCAAGAGAATCATTATTCATACTTAACAGGACAAAAGAATCAAAGAGGACTGGTTCTCAGGGGCCTAGAGGACCAGTTGGCACCTAGCGGTACATGAGTGGTATATAGATGGAGCTGGAGGAGAAGGCGCCAGGCGAGATGTTGGCAGCATTGCACCAGTCTTTCTCCTAACTCTTATCCAAAATAACTATTTTAGTTGCCTCAGGACAAAGTAATAGAGACTGTTTTCCAAGGAATCCTTAGGATCAAAAAGTACATTGGGAGCTTGTCTCTTTTTCTGCTATTTATGGTTGTTTTGTTGTTGGTTTGTTTTTTTTTTTTTTTGTGAGGAAGATCAGCCCTGAGCTAACATCCGTGCTAATCCTCCTCTTTTTGCTGAGGAAGACCGGCTCTGAGCTAACATCCATTGCCAATCCTCCTCCATTTTTTTCCCCAAAGCCCCAGTAGATAGTTGCATGTCATAGCTGCACATCCTTCTAGCTGCTGTATGTGGGCCGCGGCCTCAGCATGGCAGGAGAAGTGGTGCGTCGGTGCGCGCCCGGGATCTGAACCCGGGCCGCCAGTAGCGCAGCGCGTGCACCCAACCACTAAGCCACGGGGCCGGCCCTATTTATGGTTTTATTTAGCAAAATTCCTTTTGAAAATGTAGATCTGTCTCAGCCATGCCAAGGGGGAATGATGATAGCTGTATCTGTGCTCAGTGCTGCTTCTTCCCCAGGCGAGGTCTGATGTGGGAAACAGAAACTAAAGGGAAAAATCTCTACAGGGGAGGCGAGAATTCAGAGGCAAAAAGCGTAACCTGATTTGGACAACCACATTTCCCTTTCCAAGGTTATGCTCTGCTCCTTCTCCTGGAAGGATTTGCTTCAGTGAGACACCATCCATTTGCATTAGGTCACTTCTCTTTCCACCCTTCACCTTACCTGCCCCAGCCACCTGGGGTTAGTTCACATCAGCTGAGAGGTTGATGCTTGACAAGGAAACTGAGGTATCTTCTGCTCTTGTTTCCAGAAAATCAGCACGGCTCTAACTAAAGCTGAAAGCTTTCTGCTGGAGAATACGCTCTCGACCAGGAGCACCTTTACACTGGCCATTGCTGCCTATGCTCTATCCCTGGGAGACAAAAGTCACCCACAGTTCCGTTCAATCACCTCAGCCCTGAAGAAGGAAGCCTCGGTTAAAGGTATGATTTGTTCCATATATTTATTTGGCAAGTGTTGATGAAGCATATAGAGTCTGCTAATTCTGGGAAGGGGGTGGTGGCGTGAAAAGTTGAGTAAGACAAAACCCTCGCCCTCAAGGGACAAACCATCACAATATAACGTAATAAGTGCTGTTACGCGTGCATTTATTCATTCACTCAGCACATATTTGTTCATTCCTTAATTCAACAAATATGTGTCCATTACCTCCTATGTACCAGGCACTGTTCTAGGCTCTGGGGATAAAGCCACAAACCAAAAAAAAAAAAAAATCCAGGTCCTTCCTCATGAAACTTACATTCTAGTTAGGGAGAAACAAACATGATAAATAAGTAAAACATTGCATATAGTGAATAGGTTGGTGATAACTGATATGAAGAAAATCAAATCAGGGGAGGGAGATAGGGTGAGGTGGTGGGTTGTAATTTTAGATAGGGTGATCAGGCTTAAGCCTCACTGAGAAGATGGTATTCGAGTTGAGACCTGAAGGAGGTGAGGAAGCAAACTGGTGGCTATCTAGAGGGGTGTTCCTGGTGGAGAAATAAAACGTGCAAATGCCCTGAGGCAAGAGTGTTTCTGATGCCCCAAGAACGGCAAGGAGGTCAGTGTGGTTGGAGAGGAGGAAGATGAGGGGTCGGAAGCGAGTGAAGAAAGCCAGGGAAGGAAGCGGTGAGGGAGTGTCATGAAGGGCCTTGGAGGTCATTACAGGAGCTCTTCAGGACTCCTGAATACAGTTGCACAATGTCCAAGCCACCGAAGCAAGCTGGTGAATTGAGGGTGAAAGCCAGCCAGTGCTCCACTCCCCTAGACATGCATCCTGGTTTGGCTCTGCTTCCGCCACAGCAAGAGATGCAGTGTCTCAGTCACATCAAGATGCTGTGGGGGCCAGTGGGAGCCCTAGAACTTTAACTTCCACTTCACGTGAAAAGGGAAAGCATTGGAGGATTTTGAGCAGAGGAGTGTATGACCTGGCTTATGTCATAGCAGGTTGGCCATAAAGGTATGTATTTCATTTTGAAGAATAAAGATGCTGCTTCCTCTAGGTCAAGAGTAAAGAAATAGAAAGAGAGTAGCAGGGGTCATTGGCCAATGTGCCTGTACCAGCACAGGCATGGTTGGGCACATCTGAGGCCTCTCCTGGCTGAGGTTTTGTAAAAGTTTGATAAATCTTAGCTTTATCACATCTACAAAATTTGACTTCTGTCAGCATTTAAAAATTACTGAATCTGGGCGGGCCCCGTGGCTTAGTGGTTAAGTGTGTGCACTCCGCCACTGGCGGCCGGGCACACACCGACGCACCGCTTGTCCGGCCATGCTGAGGCCGTGTCCCACATACAGCAACTAGAAGGATGTGCAACTATGACATACAACTATCCACTGGGGCTTTGGGGAGAAAAAAAAAAGGGAGGAGGATTGGCAATAGATGTTAGGTCAGGGCTGGTCTTCCTCAGCAAAAAGAGGAGGATTGGCATGGATGTTAGCTCAGGGCTGATCTTCCTCACACACACACAAAAAAATTACTGAATCTTAACATATATCTCAAAACCATTTGTACAATACTTACTCCAACACAAAAGAAATGTCTTTGGTATTGTAGGATATGGACCATAAAATCATAGAATTTAAGAACTAGAAGAGAACTTAGTAATTCAAATAATGTTTGAGCTGGAAATATCTTTAGAAACTAACTTTTCATTCTAAATACAGTAAATCTGAGTCTCTGAGAGTGAGGGAAAATATTTTGTCCAAGGTCATGCAAATAATGTAATTATGAATTATAAACAGATACATCAAAATTTTGACTAATATTCAAAAATGATCTCCAAATATGCTTTACTGTGTTTTTGTTTTTTAAATAATTTGTTCAAAAAAGGATTTGACGTGACAGGTTTAAATTACTAGAGCAATAACAAACAAATAAAATTTAGAACCTAATTTATGAAAAGTGCTGCGTATATGAAATTTACTTTAGTGCTTTAAATTGAGAGGAGATAATAAAAGACTGAACTAAGGCTTTGAGTGTGATCTCATAATTTCCAGGATGTAGATTTTTTTCTGTCACAGAGAAAGGTTCTCCAATCTATCTTGTAGCGTCAGTAATAATAACATGCCTTTATACGTGTATGGTGCGTTCTGGTTTATAAAAACATTTACATTTGGTCTCTCACTTGAGTCTCACTGCAGGAAAGAAAGTACTATCCACATTTTAGGTATCAGGAAACTGAGTCCCACAGAACTAAAAGAATTTGTCGAAGCTGACGTGGTCAGCTAATAGCAGAGTAGAGACGAGAACCTGGGTGCAGTAATTCCCAGCTTAGTGCACTTTCCACTCTACTATACTGCTTCTCCCTAGTACATGTGGACTTTCCATGTTGATCTTTCTCAGTAAAGACAAATAGCACGGTATGAAAGGCTCTTGTTTTTTATTGGTCACCTTGAGGAAGTTCTTAAAAAAAGAGTGAGAAACTTCTAGGAACCAGAAGGCCGCCACCGGAAGAAACTTCCAGAAACCTGCTAGAATTGTTGTTTCAAATTCACATTTTTAATCATATTAATCGAAATGATTTGTTGATCTTCAGGTAATCCACCCATTTATCGTTTTTGGAAAGACGATCTTCAACAGAAAGACAGCCCTGCACCTACCACTGGTACGGCGCGTATGGTTGAAACCACAGCCTATGGTTTACTCACCAGTCTGAGCTTGAGTGACATGCGTTATATTAACCCAATCATCAAATGGCTATCTGAAGAGCAGAGGTACGGAGGCGGCTTTTATTCGACCCAGGTAATATTTCTTTGTCTTGTTTCATCCTCCTGGAGACATTTTTACTGCCTCCTGCACCACACATTCCACACTCGTTCTGGCCTCCATGCTTCTGTCCACCAAACGAGCATACCATAGATATGAATAAACGACTGGAATCAAAGGACCCTTAGAGGTTATCTGCACTGACGTCCTTCTCACACAGAGGAGGAAGTGAGCCCCAGGAGGTTCATTCAGGCAGTCAGTGGCAGAGCCAAACTCAGAACTCACGTCTCCTGACTCTAAACCCAGTACTTCCTTTATGATTCTTAATGACCATGAAGGGCTAGTAAGGTTATCAGCAATTATGTCACGTCCTATGTAATAAACAGTGGCTGCCATGCAGACAAAAATAAATAAAAAGAGAGGGATTGTTAATATGTTTATCCATCTATCTACCAACGTAAACTCATTTGAGTTTGTATATTTTATAACTATTATGTAGTGGTATAATATACATCTATATTCAAGTTTATCTCAAATGTTAGCATCTGCCCTGTTCCCCGGATGTTTGGACAATGACGGAGTGTGTGAATGTGTATACAAAATGTAGAGCTGGAGGGGTCCTTCAGGGTTACTTTAGTGTTCATCTAATCCAGGGAGGCAAACAAGTTTCATCTTGGGTACCACTATAGGCTTGGCAGGAAAGAGTGCCCTGTTGATCAGCACTGGCCACCATGGACATGAGCAGAGGGGGTGGCCACATATTTGACTTCTCTTATCTAGTCACAGTTCCTAATTTTGTAGATGAGGAAGATGAGGTCCATAAAAAATAAAGTTCATCCATTTATTGCTTCAACAAATACTTGTTGAACAGCTACCATGTGTGTACCTGCTAAATGTAACAGATGCCAAGAAAGATCTACAACTTGCCGCTGTGAATCTTACATTACGGTGGGGGAGGACAATGATGAACTATACATAAAAGTATTACAAATTGAGATGAATGCTCTAAAGGGCTGAAGGAGAATATTAAAACAGAATAACGGGAAGGAGGAGCTTATTTATGGCCTCGCTGTGGAGATTTAAGCTGAGACCTAAGGAAGAGAAGGAGCTAGTCATGCAAGGAGTGGGAGGCATTCTTCAAAGAGTGACTTGCCTGAGGTCTCACGCTCAAGATATGTGGAGAAACCGGACCTGAGACCACACTTCCTTCCTGTCCCTGCTAACAGCAGCATCCTTACTGGGGAGGGCGAGATCTTCCTTCCACCTCCACACAGGGGCCCTTAACCAGTTTCACTCACTCACATGGAGTCTCATCTCCAGATGATGCTGCCCCATCCTCCCATTAGAAAGGGTATTTGTAAACAGGGAGTATATAAATAAGCTAGTATATAAATAAGCTAAACTTATTTTTCTGCCTTGCTGATTATCGATAGGATACAATTAATGCCATCGAGGGCCTAACAGAATATTCACTCCTGATTAAACAACTCCACTTGAATATGGATATCAATGTTTCTTACAAGCATAAAGGTGACTTCTACCGTTATAGGATGACAGAGAAGAATTTCCTTGGGAGGCCAATAGAGGTAAATGAAGGATTTCTTATAATATTTTATAACTGGACAGGACCTTTGAAATCATCCATTCCACCCTTATTTTACAAATGTACCTATCCACTACTGCCACATACAGTGAGTGCCTGCTGTGTCCTAAGAAGGAGTGCCTGCCATGTCTTGAACACTGGGGATTGAAAAGGAAAGCCCAAAGAACCTGCGTACTGGGGGGAGACAGTCATTTAAACAGACAGTGAGAATAAGAGCTTGATAGGGACAGGGAAGGACAGAGGGGGGCCTCCTGAGCCAGCCTGAGAGGTGGGAAAAGTTTGTCAAATGCATCCAGATGGGCGGGCTAGATCTGGAAGAATCAGAATGAGTTAGCCAGGTGAAGAAAAGGGAGGAACATTCCAGACTTAGAAAACAGCACACACACAGATACAGTGGTAGAGTAAGAGAGAAGACACATTTGGGGGTCTGCCAGTGGTTCCACCTGGCCTGTCACACATGCAGACTGTGGCCAAATTGGAATTGGCCTATAGGTCCCTCAACAACTTGCTCCATCTCCTTTGCTACTACTGGATTTTTTTAAATGAAAACTCTGATGGCCTATGAGAATTTCCCAAAGAAAAGGACACGTTGGAAAAGCTATGTTCTATATCAATAATAGTAGTTGCCAGAATACAGCCTCTAATACATATTTTTCCAATTACCACATTTTAGATTATTTTAAGGTATATATAAATATACAAATAACTGGAAATAGTTCTCACTGTCAATGTAAATAAGGATGAGAAATAATATTTAATATGAAAATTACAATCTAGTGGCCCATAGTAAAAAAGTAAATAGATAGATAAATATGGGTATGGATAGAGATACAGACATATTTCAACATTTAAAAATTCAGAGATTTCAAATAAAAACCTGATTTTCAAAATCTCTTGAAAAACCAAAAGATCTAACAACAGGGTGCTGGTAGTAGAATGTATTCTTCAAGTTGCTGCAATCCCCATCAGTCACATGACATATGTACATGTACTTACATCCATACCTGCCTTGTGCCTGGGCCTCTGCAGGCATTTGTGCTTGTGGCCTCTTTTGGCAATGGGAGCCTTTCCCTGGGAGGGTTTATTGTTGCCCAGAGATTCACATTCTGAGCCAGCAGTCTAAGTGGTAATGAGGAGCTCTTGGCCTGAAGAGCATGGTAGGCCCATTTGAGGTAGCTGGAGTTATTCTTCTCTACAGGGGTAATGCTGTAAGGGGCCTCTTGTCATCTTAAAATAATTTAAACCTCAGCCCACAATGCTGCCTTCGTGTGAAACCTGGCCTGTTTTTATCTAGTTTGGAATTCTTACTCCAGCATTTCCTAAAATGTGTTACATGCAAAAATGTTTGGTAGTCAAGTAAGTGTGGGAAACCCTGGTTTAAATGAAGTTAAACAAGTTCTTTCCTACAGGATACCCCTACCTTTACTCTGTATGTGACTAAGTGTGGTGACTTGAGGAAGAATGGGCGGTGGGCACCCCACAGTGTACAACATTCCCCAAACTTATCTGTCACTTATTTGTCCGTAGAACCCATTCCTCCTGTAGCATCTTGATGCACTGGCTTTCCAGTAAATGCTGCTGTATTCCATCAGGGAGAACAAGAAAGTTGACCTATTTACCTACGTTTGCTAAAATTTGGAGGAAGGGGTGACAACTCTTCTCCCACACTGAATCCCATTTGCGCTAGCCTGCTAAGTAAAGGGAAGGGCAGGCTGCAGCCTTGAAGAGAGCAAAGAACCGACTCTTCAGGCCTCTTGCTCAAAATGATCTCTCCCATGCTTCCCACAAATTAGGGAGAATTTTTATGATGGAGTTTCTCTGGAAGGGAGAATTACTTTACTCAGTTCACGTCTTTACCCTCCAGCTAGCTGAGTAAGTAGAAGAGCAGCAGCACCTAAGGATTGGGTAGGCTTGGGTGGGGTTTCAAGAAACAGAGAGCAGTGGGAAGTGGATTTACGACAAGCCATCAGGAGGTGGGAGAGGGGTGCAAAGGGGAAGGTGGGAGGGGCAAAGATAGATTGTAGCCATGTCGAGTTATGTTGAGGTCACCTATTCTTGGTGCTAGTGGAAATGATCTCCTTTGACACATAGGATGCTGATACCCAAGTTAGGCACTGAAAAGAATTTATTCAGTTGGCAAAAGGAGGTGAAGATCCAGTTTTACCATAACTATATACAAATGAAAATGTAACCAAAAGTGACCTCTGACATGTTGGTTTTGCTGGCTTACTCAGGAAATCTGAGACATCTTATTTACGTGTAGAAGGGAAATTTCCAGCATTTTTTAGTGCCTAGCGTGTGCATAGGATGTTCAATGCCTTATCCATTTACTCTCATAAGATCTCTGAGAGAGGAAGCTGGTAGGTGTCAGCCCACTCTTTTCATTGCTCTCTCCTCCCTCCCTATTAAATAATAAAAGAAAGCATGGTTTCTCATCTACCTTTCCAGGCGCCTCTCAATGATGACCTCGTTGTCAGTACTGGATATAGCAGTGGCATGGCTACAGTGCATGTAAGTGTTTCGCTGAGAGCTGACTTGGGAGCTATGTGTCTGCTTGCACTAAGTAACACAAAAGAAAGTTAGACGCTTTGCCACAGAGTTACAGAAATCTGGGCGTGGGTAACCACGACTAAAGTAGAATTCATGTATCTGTCCTCACAATTTCTTTTTGAAAATGGCTATGTTAATCCTTGTATCTTTGTATGTAGACAGTCTGTGTATTTGTGGAAATTTTATATATATATATATAATTTTTATGGTTGTATATGTATATACATACAACATGTGTGTATACAAACACAAACACGCATATACACGTTTTCTATGGTTAGTAACAGTCACATCTCATTTATCCAGCATCATTGGGGATTGACGTATTATATATAAGAGTTTAAGTTTCTTTTATTTTACCCATTTGGCAGTCGCAAGCTTTTTCTAAGCTGTTTATGTGTGTCCATGCAGTCTTAAGCTACCTAGTCTGAGCATAAATTAAGACTCTATTGAAATTTTAATCATGCTGTTAGATTTAGCACATATATTCCTTCAAAGACTGTTCTGCCATTTCTAGTTGCTCTCAACATACCTACTTCCGGTAGCACCTCTGCCCATCCATACACACCTATAATTTGTAGTTTACCACAGTGGTGTGTGGGCTGGGAGAAAACCACACTTCCTCGTAGCGTTAGATGTAAAATTAGAGTGTACAGGCTCGAGGACCAGTTAGGAACTTTACCGTAGAGTGGGGTGCTCAGATTTGACTGCATGGGTTTGGACCAAGATTCTGCCTGGCCAGAGGTCAGTTTTTGCTTACTTTGGGCTTCTCAGCTATGTTTTAAATTGTGGAGTTTGCTGAAAGTCCAGCTGCTGGGAAAAATGAGTCTTTGATGTACACCATTTGCACTGGATTATGAAAATGATACTTTAATCATCCCATTTGCAGCAGCAGTACTGCCGTAATAGCTGTTCCACTTTCTCATTTTAAATAGCATCTTCTTGTTTACTTGTCCCAATACAGGTAAGAACTGTAGTTCACAAAACCAGTACCTCTGAGGAAGTTTGCAGCTTTGATTTGAAAATTGAAACCCAGGACATTGAAGGTAAAACAGTATCATTTACACTGTAATTTTGGCAAAGCATAAAGTATGTCAGAGAGCTCCCCTGATTGGGAAAAATGTGCTTGCTCAAAATACAAAATTTCTTGATCAAGTTCTATAGCAGGTTGACATCCAAGTAAACCTTACTGCCATTTATTATAATGAGGTAACTCTTTAATGATAGTTGGAAACTGATATTAAATAACATAATAACTAAGCTAAAGGTATGCACTATTGATCAAGAAATTGTTTTGACTACCTTACTTTTTAAGAGTGTAACTAGTTGTAAAGCCAGAGAAAGGTCTAATTTCGGAACCTTGAATTTCTGTTACTTTTGTGTCAGCATTCCATTCTAGGACCCTGAATTTCTCATCACTCTGTTACCCTTTCTGTATTCCAAGGAGTCTGATAAACACACAGTTCTCTGCGCTCATCTTCAACTCAGTCTCTCCAGCACTTAGGTCTTTTTTTAACGTGCCTTTTTTCTTTTTTCTGCCTGTGGCCTTCACATCGCTCTTCTGGGGGCTTGATTCTCCCCTCCCAGTCCAAAAGCAAGTCCACTTGCACAATCCAGTCCTCCTCTAACCGTGGCCGTGGGGTCAGGGTGTGTGCTGTTCCTCTGCCCTGACAGCTTCCGTTTGTGGCTCAGAAGTCTGTTCCTACAGGCAACTTTCCAGTACAGCAAATCCAGGCATTAGCTCTTCCTCCCTGTAACCTCCCCCAAACACGTTACCAATACATACTTATCTTAAATGACTCTTTCCTTCAATTATAAGTTCTTTGAGAGCAGAAATCTGCTCTAATTATTTAAAGACTTCCTGGTATTGTCAGTAGCCATGAATTTCCATTAAAATCACCAAAAGTGCCAACTTCCAAATCATAAATCATTTTTAAGCATGTTTTGAAGCCTGCTCATTAATGATTCGGTTCTGACAGGTTCCAAAACAGCTACAAGTGGTTTACTCTCATTTTTGTTTATTTGTTTGCTTGTTTGTTTGTTGCGTGTGCTAGCATCCAGCTACAGAGCCCACGAGGACTCGGAATACATGCGCATAGTAGCGTGTGCAAGGTAAGCCCATTTCCTCAAAGGGGAGTGTAGACATCAAGGTCTCGCTTTTGCCACAGTATTATTTCTTTTCATCTTTTTTAATTTTAACATAGCCAGAAGTTGCAAAATTGTCCACTTTTTAAAATGTAGAACGTAATGGGTATTCCTAAATAGCTATTCACTATACAGAACAGCTTTGCTTTTGCTCATATACACGTATTTCCCCTCCCATTTTTGGCTTTCTTCTAATTCAAACACTATAATATTATTTTTTTTTTCTGTCTTTCAGAAAGGTAGAGATGTGATGTATTAGGAAAAGAAAAAGAAAAATATTCTCTCATAAGCAGCTTTTACCCTCTTACTTAGAAAAATCACATTCGCCTGGTAAAATCCCCGGCCTTCATCAGCCGGTGGTTCTCAACTCAGGCTGTACAGTGAAGTCAGCTGGAGGGCTTTTAGAACTATCCACCCTCACCCCAGAGGTCATTCTAATGGTAGCCAGGGCTGAGAACCACTGATGCTGAACCCTCTGCAGACCAACTCCAGAGGCCGAAATTGGCCACTGTATTCATTTCCTATTGCAGCTAGGTAACAATTTACCACAAACAATGGTTTAAAACAACGCAAATTTATTACCTTACGATTCTGGAGGTCAGAAGTCCTAAAATCAGGATGTCTTCAGGGCTGCGTTCCTTCTAGAGGCTCTGGGGAAGAATCCATTTCTTTGCCTTTTCCTGATTCTAGAGGCCACCTGCTTTCCTTGGCTTATGGCCCCTTCCTCCATCTTCAAAGCCAGCAGCACAGCATCTTCCAATCTCTCTCTAACTTTGATCCCTGTTGCCATCATCATTTCTCCTTCTCTCACTCTCCTACTTCCTTCCCTTATAAAGACCTGTGCGATTACATTGGACTCACCCAGATAATACAAAATAATCTCCCTATCTCAAGATCCTTAACTTAATCACATCTGTGAAGTCCTTTTTGCCACCTGAGGTAACATATTCAAAGGTTCAAGGGATTAGGACATGGACATCTTTGGGGGCCGCTATTCCGCTTACGACAGCCACCATCCTAAAGTGCTTATGAAACTGTAGGTTTTTGAAAATACGTATATATAGCTTAGCGATGACACAGAGCAAATCAGTTAAGTGGCAGAGCCAGAACTAGAACACAGGCTTCTTCCCTCTTCTTTCCATCATTCCTCGGTACCTCCTGTTGTGTTCTGTTTCCTTAACTCTTTCTTTTCTTAATAATAGTGATTTCTATGGCTGGTATTTTGCTGTTTTTACTTATCATCTCACGTGATGTCAAAGCACAAAGTACGGATAAATTAGAAATTCCCTAGAGTTGTGTCACAGATTAGAGCTGAAAAGGATTCTAGGGACGATATAGTAATCCGCTTATTTTAGAGACCCCGAAGAGGTGAAGTAACCTCCCAAGTTCTTGCAGAGTTAGAGGCAGAGCCAGGACCTCAAACCCCAGATCCTGACAGCCAGTCCAGGATCTAAATCACCTCCTTCAGTGTAATCTGAGACCACTGACCTCCAGGAACAGCTCATTGTCTCTCACCTCCTCCTTCCCAGTCAATCCCCAGCCCTGTTTGTGGTCCCCAGCCCAGTCATTCTCTTCTTAGGATTACTTCACCAGCCAGCCTGCTCACCATCCCTCCTTTCTTCCTTGGCCAGTCGCTGCTCTCTGTTCCCCCTCAAATATCCTTCCTCATTCTCTAATGTCTTTCCATTAAGGTCACTCTTTCCCAGGCAGCTTCCTTCCTCCTAACTGCCATTCCTGCTCTTGGGTACCTCTCTTCTGGGGGAGGGGGCATGATCACAGTTGTCTTTAAATCCATAGCACTTGTCACAGGGAGGTGTGAGCAGACGTGTTCTGGGCAGAGCTAGAATCAATGCGGGGGACCCTACAGCGAGGCACCTAGAGTGGGGACAAGAAGGGCTCTCTGATAGTGGAGTGGGACACCTGTGGAACAGCTCCTGCCATGAAGTGCTCAAGGGACCTTCAGCACTCAGCTTACTTCTCTGGGCCTCTTCTGTAAAGCAAGGATATTGGACTATCTGATCTCAAAGTTTCTTCCAGCTCTAACGTTCCACAGCTCTGCTATATATAAAAAGGCTCTCACCAAAAACTCGTTCATTTGAATTCATTGACAGGAGGCCTAATTTCACACTGTTAATATACAAAAGAAAGCAAATAGAGGTGTAATATTGAATATTCTATCCTTTGGTTTTTATAAATCAGGGACAAAATGTTCAAAAAAGCCAGGTGGCATATGCTTTTGGCTCTGTGCTGCTGAAGTTAGGTTGGATAAATTCCAAAAGTAACCGTGTAGTACTTATTCATGTGAGAAATTCTTTCCTTCAAATATTCTCTCTCCTGATTAAAAGAAATGCCAGCACACAGTTTCTGTGTTCAGGGGTCTCTTTCGTGTATTTAGCTTTTTACAACCTCTCTCTTGTATTCATAAGAAAAGAAAAAAAGGATTTCATTTCTCTCCTCCTCTCGGAACAAAATGCCTTTGGGAAAGATTGCTGTCTTTGGCAGCAGGCAAAGGGCTTCTTGAAAGGAAGGTTTCTGTTCCATGGTTGAAACAGTTGCCATGGCAACCAGTCATCAAGACTCCAGCAACTTTTCATAGACACTCTCCACTCGGGAGGCCCTTTTCCGTCCTGTTGACAGAGTATTTGCATCTGTGAGCAAGAGTTCTCTACTTCTGGTGACACTCACCCGTCCAGTTAGGGAAATGTCCAGATGTCGTATTACAGTTCCAAGTTGCCTTATATTCTGTCCTAAATTGTTAATTTGGTGAAGAATAGGGTTAAATTTTTATAAGACAGAAATTTTATAATATTTTAAATTATATTGGTAAAACTTCTAATAGGGTCTGCTTTATATATGCCCTACAAAGTGTAGTTGGGGAAAAGAGATCCCCTGCCACCACACTAACTCTCATAATACCTCCCATTTCACTAACACTCATTCCTTGAAGTGAGATCAATTCATTTTCCCCCTTTTGAAGCTGTTTTCCCAGTTTCTTCCTTTAATCCTGACTGCTTTTCCAAGCGTCACTCTCGAATGTCCAGCTGCCTCTCAACCATCTTGAGGTGAAGCTGGAACCTGAAACTCAACCTTTGCAGGACCACTCTCACCCTGCCCCAGTCCCCAGTCCCTGACCCACTAACTTGCTCCTCTTTGAAATCTTCTAACTCTGCTTAATGATCACACCAAGGCTCTGCCACTCAAAACGAAACCTTGGAATTATAACAAATTAAAAATACAAGTTTCCACTTCTTCAAAGTTAATTTTACAAATAAGAAAATGAGCTCTAGAAAGGGAAAATAATTTGTGGAAATCTCTCAGCAGCATTGAGATAAAACCCACGTTTCCTGATTCCCCATTTCAGTGTTCTTTTCTCTCTTATCAGAAAACAGAAAAACATGCCAAACTCTCATTTTACCCCTTTTGCCTTCTCCTTAGCTTCCCCACAAGCACCATTCCTAGACAAAGGATAGTCCTGGAAACATTTTTTAAAAATAAAGTATCTCACGTGGAAAATTTAGAAAATAGAGAAAAGCATGGAAAAGAAGAGAGATAATCACTTATAATTTCACCATCCAGAGAAAGTAGCTGCTAACATTTGAGTGTATTTCCTTCCAGTCTTTTCCCAAACATGCTTATTGAGCCTCTTTCCAATATACAACCAATTTTCTTCTTTGAGTATGTTCCATGAGGAAAAGAACTAGAATGAGAATCAAGAAACCTATGCAGCTCTGAGGTGAACTAGTCATGTGACCTTGAAGAGGTGCCTTACTGTCAGCCTCAGTTTCCTCAACTAGTCAATTAAGAGCTTGGACTGAATGACTTCTGTGATCTCTTCCAGCTCCAGAATAGTGGTCCATTGAGATTATCAGTCAAGTGAGTAAAAAGTTAAAATAATGATTCAAAGGTCTCTTGCAACCCTAAAATTCAGAGGCTGCAATGTATATATTTTAGAGAGGCAAATAAATGGAGACCCAAATTCAAAAATCAAAGCCTACTAAGGAATAGGGCCTTTTCTTAGAGAATCTTATCCATTTATTTATTCCATTTCCTAATCTCTTCTTTTAGCTACAAGCCCAGCAGAGAAGAATCATCATCTGGGTCCTCCCATGCAGTAATGGACATCTCTTTGCCCACTGGAATCAATGCAAACCCAGAAGACTTAAGAGCTGTAAATGTTTTCTTTTAAATATTGTTATGGATGCCTGGTTTTCTTTACTGCATTATTTTACAGACAAAGCTATTTCCTTTCATTCTAATATGTCACTTTCATAGAATCACCCAGAATATTCTTTCCAAACCAACAATCTACCTGTTTTGATTTTTCAAAATGAAGTGGGGTCATATACTTGCATGGTCCAAAACATGTGAGTGCATATAATAACACGTTCAGACTTTTTCAAGATGAGGAGCTTCTTCGCTTCTTGAGTAGTGGATTACAACCCACGATCTAACATTGCATCCTCAGGTGAATGCGTTTAAACAAAAAGATCATAAAATTAAATTCAAGCTTTTCTCTTTTCTCTATTAGCTTGTGGAAGGGGTGGATCAACTATTAACTGATTACCAAATCAAAGATGGACATGTTATTCTGCAACTGGATTCGGTAAGCTCCACCTCCCACAATTCTTCATTTACTATTACTATTCAAAATTTATAGGCTAAATATTATGGATCTCTTCTCTCCTATAATTTCCTTAAACTTTGAATTTGTCAAACAGATTCCTTCCAATGAGTTCCTTTGTGTTCGATTCCGGATATTTGAACTTTTTCAAGTTGGATATCTAAGTCCTGCTACTTTCACAGTGTATGAATACCACAGACCAGGTAATCAACTGTGCTCTAAAATTTCCTCAGAAGACTATTTTCTATTTATTACAGAACTTTCGGAAATCCACTAGAGGCCTGTAAATTTTATATGGTGCCTCTCTTAGGGCTCACTCTTCACAAAAGTCCCAACTTGGACACACAGACTACTGCATAACATTGAGCAAATCATTTCATGTCTCTGGTCCTCAGTTTCTTCATTTTTAAAATAACTGGATTAGATTGCTCCTAACTTTTAAATTCTTTGCCTCAAGTTTATTTTTGTTGTTCATTTTCAGTATTCATTGCATCTCTCCTGTTTACGGAAGCCTACTTACCCTACTATTTCTTTAATCCTCCCAGAATCAACTGCTACTCCATCTATATTCTCATCACATTCTGCAGAGACCTCCATTATATCAGTTGTCACATTGCATTGTAATTATTTGTTTGCATGTCTTTCTCACCAACTCCAGACAGAATGTTTTCATCCTTGTGCCCCTAGCATCTAACACAGTGTCAGGTACACAATGCATATCGATAAATATTGAATGAATGACCCCACATTTGGTCACTCAGCCACTTCTGAGAATGTTAAGTGATTAGAGAGCTCTTTGGTTCACAAGACAGATGGCTCCACTTTGGACAGTTCTACTTGTTAGAAAATTCTTAAAATCAACCAAACTCTGATACCTGTTCAGTCTAGTTTTATCATTTGAAATCATACAGAACATACTTAGCCCAGCCTCCCCTTGAGAGACAGAATATGAATTTATATATATATGCTTTTCTTTTCTTCTCCAGCCTAAACAACTACAATTCTTTTGATAGACTTTCATGTAACATAATTTCCTCTCATTCATGGACGCACCAAATATTTTCATTCTAAGAAATGAATATTGAACAGTAAAATGTCAAGCACAGAAGAGGAGATCATTTTGAGGGTAGAGGGGCCCATGCTAGCACAGGCAATTTATCATTTAACCTCCCTGGGCCGTAGCTACGAAAAGAAGGGTTCGAAATAGGTGATCTCCAAGGTCCCATGAGAGAGACTCACTGATCGGTAAATGTGTTTGGCATTAATCAAGCCACCTCTCCTAACTACACTTTCGTTGCCACAGATAAACAGTGCACCATGTTTTACAGCACGTCCCAGCCCAAACTTGAGAAAGTGTGTGAAGGAGCAACGTGCAAATGTGTAGAAGGTAAACTTCGTTTAGCATGTTTAGGCTGCACGCTTGTTTAAAGCAGCCACTCATAATCTGGGCTAATTGGGGGGAAGCTGTTGGATAAACCGTTGTTTCGCAGAAGTAGAAATGTAGTCTCAGCTGATTGAAAGCTGATTCCTTGAGTGCTGTAGAGCTACTTCTCGACAACGCCTGAACACCCTGATAGTTGCTGCTGTCCAGAGGTGCAGAAACACCATCCAGACAGTTGTTGGATATCAGAGGGGTAACAGGATGTGAAATTCTCACTTGGCACCTGGTCTTTTAATGTACTAGGCAGAGGCTCAGGACTGAGCCGCTAGCTCCTCGTTCTTTCCCCTTGTCCTTCCCAGTTAGTGACATTCTCTGTTTATTGGCCAGTTCCATTCAGTCTTTCGTGACTTCAAGGCAGCCTTTTTAGCTAAAAAAAAAGACCTAGAACTCTCCAATAATCAACAAAATTCATTGGGCTGGTTTGGGTTTTATTTTGTTTTTCAAAATCCTTAATATCTACACGTTTCTTAGGTACTTATCGCATTACCTTATAGCTATGAAACAGCTAAATTATCATTCAAGGGACTTTTGATTTTATTCAACATGGGAGCTTTTCCTTCTTTCTTTAATGGAAGCGCATACATTTTTAAAGAGCAGAAAGTGGAGTGACTACTCATTCTAAGAATAGGTCTCACGTCCAAGATTTTGTTTTTGTTTGTTTTGTTTTGTTTTTGCTTTATATAATGTCTCACTTTATGGAAGAGGAGAAAATGGACAGGTCTTAGGAATCTGGTATTTGTAAGATCATATTGCATTGTCTCAGGGCTCATGAGAACTATGTTTACTCCCAAAGAGAGTGTCTGCTTCCTTACATTAACTTGACATTTACCATTTTTCACAAAATCCAGCTGACTGTGGACAAATGCAGACAGAATTGGATCTGACAATCTCTGCAGATACTAGAAAAGAAACAGCATGTCAACCAGAGATTGCATATGGTAAGTTCAAAAGTTCAGTAAACACGAAATTTTGGGCCGGCCCCGTGGCTTAGCGGTTGGGTGTGCGCGCTCCGCTACAGGGGGCCCGGGTTCGGATCCTGGGCGTGCACCGACGCACCACTTCTCCGGCCATGCTGAGGCCGCGTCCCACATACAGCAACTGGAAGGTTGTCCAACTATGACATGCAAGTATCTACTGGGGCTTTGGGGGGAAAAAAAAAGGAGGAGGATTGGCAATGGATGTTAGCTCAGAGCTGATCTTCCTCGGCAAAAAGAGGAGGATTAGCATGGATGTTAGCTCAGGGCTGATCTTCCTCACAAAAAAAAAAAAAAAAACATGAAATTTTATGAATACATGATCAGTTAGGAAGATCAACAACTTTACATAGTGATTATATGGATACAACATTCCACGTGTTCCCTTGAAGGAAAACACCATCAATTTTCAGCATTAGCACACAAAGTCATTCATCCTTCTGCAAAGAAATACGATTTTCATTAAAAATAATAGGAGTGAATTGCACACCCACCCAGGACACTTTACTCCAGTAGATCCCATTGAATCAAAGGCTTTAAAACATATTAAGAAAGAACTTTTGGGAAGCCACAAAGGTATAAGATTTCAGATTTCCAGTCTATCAAGCAGAGCCAGAGACAAAGGTGGTTTTGGGGTTTGGGGTTTTTTTGAAATCCCTTCAAAGGCAAGGTAAAAATATAAATATGAAATAATTTTTAATATATGCAGAATTGCAATCCATGTTTGAGACTCTTTCCATTTCAAAAGGAGCATCTCCTTCTGGTTGTTCAGAGCTCAAGCTAAATCAAATGCTCAAGTAGAGTTGTAGTCTTGTCTCAAGTTCCTCATAGAATTAGCTCCTTTGTTTTCTATCCATAGTTTCTAATGTTTATTTCTGGTTTTTTTTTTTTAGAAAGAGAGCATATTGTACACTATCTCAAATCTTTTCTTGAAAATTGGTAGGGTGTTATTTATAAATAAAAAATAAGTACAGTTGATTTGGCACCTTGCATTTACCAACTGCTTTCATATACGGTTTCTCATTGGAGTCCCAGAAGACCCCTTTGAGGTAACAGAGGGTTAGCTCTATTTTACCAGTGAAGAAACTGAGGCTCAGGGAGATTAAATAATTTGCTCAAAGTCATACAGGAAGTAAGTGGTAGAACTAGGATGTATCCTGGTCTCCAGTATTATTTCCACTATATTAGACTGAATTCTCTTAATGGAAATACAGCCATCAGAATGAATTTTGTATGGTTTATAGTCTTTTCTTCAAATTCATCTTGATTTTTTTTAAAAAGCTAAAAAGCTGCCTAACTCAGCCAAGACCCACTGCAGTTTTTAAAATACATGGAGACTTAAAGACAATACTATATTGTTTTAACAGACAAAAATTTCACTAAATTTTTTCTTTCCTCATTTTAGAACTATTTTAACCTTAAATATTAGAAAATTATTTTAACACAGAGAATAAATGTAATCTGGATTTAGTTTATTACTTTCAAGAAAAGACTTAGCTGGCTTTTTTGGAGACTGTGGATTGATACTAGAATAACAGAATAGAAACAAAATAAAATAGTTCCCTCTCCACCAATGCCCACAGTAGGTCCATTGCCTATATGCACCATAACGACTTTTTCATCTATTTTAAGCCACTAATTTACACAGCCTTTGGTTCTGCCACAATGAGTTCATTCACTTATATATATATAGCTAGCTAGGTAGCTAGGATCTCAAAAATGGGCAAAACTTTAGGTCATTCAACCCCATCAAAAGCAAAAATAAAAGAATCTTTTCTCAGGCCACGTAGAAGGAATAGGTCCCTTCAAGGTGATCATTCTAGAACTGAGGTCAAACTCACCATGGATTAAACATTGATGCCTGAAAGAAGAGAAAACAGGATTGGGAGTGGCTTGCGTCCGATAGTTGCCAATCCAAGCAAAGACGAGTCAGAAAACAGAATCCTATCAAAAACCAAAGATCAAAGCCAGTGGAGATATCTGAGGAATCGAGGCAATGGAACAAGTAGGCTTATGTGGTGGGCCTGAATGGTAGATAAAGGCCCCTTCTGGGGCCGTGCAGCAGGGGAAGGGGCTCTTCCAAGTGCCCCGTGGGCACGACTCCACTAATCTTATAGGATCAGAATCTGAACTTTACATCTAACAAAGCTTTATTTCATTTGTATTATGTGCTTCTGTCTTTTAACTTAGTATTGCTCTTATCCTACTCAGCCTGTTCTGTAATGGTGGCCAGGGCTAATGATTCCAAGTAGAATGAATCATTAGAGTCCAGACCAGTAGAACCAGACTGAGAGATTTGGGAAGGCTTCTTGGAAAAAGTGAGATCTACCTCAGGGTACCCATAAGAGCTTTCCATGCTTCATTTCTCATTTGTTTGACAAATTCTGGCTTCTATTAAACATGGCATTAGTAATATTAAGCATGAACTGTTGTTTTTTTGTTTACCAGCTTATAAAGTTAGTATCACATCCATCGCTGAAGAAAATGTTTTTGTTAAATACACTGCAACCCTCCTGGACATCTACAAAGCTGGTGAGAATTCATTCATTCATTCCTTCATTCAACAAATATTTAGTACTTACAATGTGCCAGGCACTATATTAGGTACAGAGGATACAACTTGATTAAGACAGCCAGAGTTCCTGCCTTCATAAAGCTTGTATTCTATTTGAGGAGACACATTTTTTTAAAAAAAGGAAAAGGACAAATAAACAATTATAAATAATAACAAGTATTATATTTGAAACAGACATGGAATTAATGGGGGAAACTCCTTCAGTGGGATAACAGATGGCATCTTATAGCAGATGATTTTAGGAGGTAGCCTAAAATCATTTTTAAAGAGATGGAGTGGAGGGTAGAGAGAACCAAATGTGCAAAGGCCCTGAGACAGCAAAGAACTCGGCCCGGTCAGGGAACTGTAAGGACACCCCTGGGTGACAGGACTATAATGAGTGAGGGAAAGGCCAGTGAGAGACAAAGCTGAGAGAGAGGCAGGAGCTGGGTCATACAGGCATTTATAAGGCACGGTAAGAAATTTGGATTTTATTCTAGAAGTCCAAAGGAAAGCTAATAAAAGGTTTTAGGTAGGCAAGTAACATGATCTGATTTGTGGTTTTAAAAGATCATTCTGGCTTCTATTGGAGGGAGCAAGCGTAGAAACAGGGAAACCTGAGCCTCTGTGAAGTACAAAGCCTTGGGTCAGATGCCATGTGAATTACGATAGGATAAGTGAGAGTTGTAATAACCAGTACAATAAACTGAATTCATATGCAAAATAACATATAAAACAACTTTTTAAAATATGTTCCCTTCTATTCTCTAAGTAAACTAAAGTACAGATATCATAAACTGCTTGTCAGATGATATAAATTGTCACACAAATGATCCATTAAATCATTCCAATAGTTCCACGTTTTTTTTTTAATTTTTTGTTTATTGCAGTAACATATGTTTATAACATTGTATAAATTTCAGGTGTACATCATTATACTTCTATTTCTGCATAGATTACATCATGTTCACCACCCAAATACTACCCACATAAGCTTTTGATTTTTATAAATTGTCAGCGTTATTTTGCTGGATTCACTACAGGATGCCCCTGTTTGAGGTTTGATTTGACAACAAGGAACCACATCAAACTTTTCCAATTACATCTCCATTGAATTGGTAATCATTACATAACCTATAGTCTCAATAAGTAATTTTTCCTACTAGCAACAGTATTGTTCGTGGTAGTGAACCCTCTCTCAGTTTCCGCTAAACTAGCAATAATTACATTCAAAATGTTTCTAGTTCCCATGATGCTGTCTGACATTTTTATGTATCCAATGTATCTCCATTAATAATCACCTAAATCATGAAAACAATTTATTGAAATGTCATATTTATTTTTCCTAATTCTCTTAATTTTTATTCCTTTTCCACTCTCAGAGTTATACAAACATCATTTGACCAAGTTTCAGGGTTCACAAATTTTAGAAAACATAAAAGTTCATTACATTTTTCACTTTTGTCATTAAAAGCAAAATCATTTTCATATAACCAGCTTTTCTCTTAAATTAATATTTTCTGTTGTTTTATATCAAATGGCATATCAGTCTTCATTTTGTAACAGCTCTTTACTTTTATAGTTTCCTTTACTTATTTTTACATAATCAATTTTATCATTCATTCATTAATCTGTCAGCTTATTAAAGCTGAAAGATTTTTTCTTGAACACGTAATGATGATGTTGACATAATTGCTAGAATATGATAGGCAAATCACTAAAAAGTATATATATTCACTTTCTAAATGTGTACTCCCATATGACAATATCCATCAAAATGAATCCGTCAGACTTGATAGGATTTCCAAACTGCCTCGGCTGTCCTAGCAGTATGGGCTACTTGTCAAATCCGAATATTTTTATAATTTTCATTATTGCAATTTTTAAGCTCTTCGTATTATTACTTAATTCTGTCTAGTGTGTATTAGATATATGGCAGTAAATACCAAATTTATGAAGACAATATTTAAAGTGACTTTTGCTTGGCTTGTATCTTTTATTGTATTATGCAAAGACACTTGATAGGTGATTCAGTCAATGCCAAATTGAAACAGCTGGAAATTTCAGAATTTTTGCTGAAGCCCCAGACTTATCCCTGGTGTTACATTTGCACCAATAAGGTGTTCATACAAATATTCCTCACTGGCTCCTTTTTCTCAAACCTCAGCAAAATAGTTTGAGAGGTTGTTCAGTTGTTCCTTCCAGTACCTTGAGATCATTAAAAAACCATTAAACCATCTTCAAAGTCCTCAGTTTTTCATTTTATGTTATTAAAAACACTTTTTATATTAAATAGTTGATCTCAATAATGAAGGAAATTTTATTTTATTACCTTATTTATATTTTTGAAAAAGCTGTGTTCTCACTTCAGTAGATATAAATTTTTCAATAAGGAGGACCATAAATCTAAATTACTACAATATGTTTATATTGATTTTTTTCTCTTTTGAAATTCTATCAAGCATTTCAAGTCTGAAATTGCTTGACTATTTTTAACCATACACTAGATAGAATTAAAAATTCTAATAATACTTTCCAAATTTTTATTTGCTTGATCAACACTGATAGAAAATTTTTCTGGTTTTTATTATTTTAAATGTTTCACCGTATGAAATTCATTTGTGATGCTATTTTATTTTTCCCCATTGATCATCACAAATTTTCTTTATTTGAACCACAATTGCCATTCTGACAAAATAGGTAAGTGTTCAACGTTTTGATCTTCCCACAAGCCAACTTTCGAGCAACACTTGCATCCAACATTCACGTCATGAGCAATAATAAGCCATTCCTATTTTTACTGAAATAATCAAGTGCTTTTCATTCCAGAAATACAAATTATTTGTTTTATTTTGTACTGGTTCTTGCATAGTATCAAAAGACATTCCAGACTGTTCTGAATGTTGTGTAACGTCGTATGATTCCCAAGCTGCAGCTCTATTAATATCATTTCTTCTTTGTTCTCCTGTCAGTTCAGAAGATTCATATTTATGATATTTAAAAGGAAATGTCAAGAAACTTTTGCATACTTTGTTATCTGTTCATTCTGTGTGTTCATTTTTAGTATATATAAATTTTGAATTTATATGAATATCAAAACACCACACACTTAACACTTACACGAGAGTTGCTGCACACTAACAATAAACCAAAATAAAAACTAAACTATTTAGAATCAAAGGCAACTATGTAGTCCAAGGATAATAATAAATTGATGTTTCTCCTAAAACAGGTTGCTTAGAATAGGTGAGGATATAAATGAAAATAAGATTAGTGATCGTCGAAGCTGAGATTTATTAACTATTCTTTTCTTCTGAATATGCTTGAAATTTTCCATAACAAAAGGTTTTTAAAAATAATACTAAGGCTCCATGCAGCCACACTGCTTACCCTAACAGGGGCTGAACTGGCAAATAGTTCCGGGAATGTGGCTTAGATGTTGCTGCAAAAGGAAGTCACATACTAATAGTCATCGAGAGAGCCTAAGAAAATTAGCTTGAACTAATGTGTGTACACTAGAATTTATATTACTAAAGTCAACCATTTACACAGTTGCTATTATGTACTATTTACCAATGGGTTCAGAAGATTTTCAGGATTTTAATAATTAGGATGACTCCGCCATAGTTTAATAGCTGGATATCAGTCCTGAATATACAGCAATGAGTCAGACCCAGTCCCTGCCTCAGGAAGTTTCCAGCCTAGCTGAGGAGACAGACAGGTGGAGTAAAATATATTGTGATAGAAATTCAAGGATAATGGGATTAAGTGGGAGACAGATGTTTATGACAAAGAGCATCAAGGAGTGTTTACTAGATACTGTGAGAATTGAAGATGAGTTTAAAGATGGGTAGAAATTCAATAGGCCAACATGGGGAGGAATGCATTCCAGGTAGGAGAAGCGGCTTCTTGGCTACTTCTGAGTTCTTTGGGAATCCCAAAATTATCCTCCTTAAAATTTTCCAAGTCTTTCACGTCTTACACTTTTCTACAAAATTGCCCATTGCCAGCTACCAAATGCTTTTTTATTTTACTATATAACCTACGGCAATTAATATTGTTCAACTATAGAGAGGTTCTTTTAATTCCTGGTTCTACAAGGGCAATAATAATAAGCACTTATACAGTGCTTACTGTGGTCTAAGCACTTTTTGTGTATTAACCCATTTTATCTCACAACAGTCCTACAAGGTAGCTTTTATTGTTATGCCCATTTTTCAGATGAGGGTCTGAGTCCTTACACAGAAAGCATAAATCACTTGTCCAGGGCCACACAGCCAGGAAGCTGGGATTTAACTCAGAGAGCCTGCCTGACTCCAGAGTCCGAAGTCTTAACCCTGTGGACATCGCTGCTCTCCAATAGCCACTAGCCGGCCGATATAAACTTATGCTGATTAATAAGTAGCCATGAGAAACCTGAACACTTGAGAGAGTTTATAATCGTGACATTGTAACATGAATGTGATAACCTTACTTGTGTGTCTCTCAGGTGAAGCTGTTGCTGAGAAAGACTCTGAAATTACCTTCATTAAAAAGATAAGCTGTGCTAACGCTGACCTGGAAAAAGGACAACAGTATTTAATTATGGGTAAAGAAGCCCTCCAGATAAAATACAATTTCAGTTTCAAGTAAGTCACCAATATTTTGTAGTCTCTGATCTTCCCTCCAAAACTGAGTGTAATTTATTCTTAAATACATTACATGTTTGTTATGTGCCCTGCTGTTAACCAAGAAACCATTAGGAGCATAAATGAAATCATGTGAATTTAAAACAAAGAACTACTTAACATCATCAGGGCAGCTGAGGACTCGCTAATGGAGAAACCAGCTGAGCGCCTGGGTCTGACAATGAATCCCAGGACCTTCATCCGATCCCCTTACACCACATCTGCTCCCTCAATAAGATCTCAGACTGCTCTGTTTGTAAAGAGGAAATGTTTCAATACACATTTTATTATCTGTTTTTTAAAAATAGACATTAAAACAGATGCTGTTCCTTGCCTTTAACCATGGGAGTGCCAAGCAGCTTCACGATCATCAGGGGTTTATGGACCTTTCTAGGGAGAAGCCGGTCTGGAAGAGTTTGGCCGACGGCCTGACCCCTGGGGACTTGAACAGCCTGGGCTCAACCAAGTTCGGCTCTCCTCTATTTGTGGTCATCATCACAAATGCTTCGTTTTCATTTTTTCTTGGCAGGTACATCTACCCTTTAGATTCCTCTACCTGGATTGAATATTGGCCTACAAAAGCAACGTGTCCATCATGCCAAGCATTTTTAGCTAATTTAGATGAATTTGCTGAAGACATCTTTTTAAATGGCTGTGAATATGCCTGAAAAACTTCAGCTTTGCACAGTTTTCACTATGGACTCCTTTTGTGGAAGTTTCTTCCTTTTTGGTTTTTTTTTTTTTTTTAACATTCACTGTTGGTCTTATTTGGAAAGCTCACTTTACTTAGAATTAGTGGCACTTACTTTTATTAGAGAACGGTTTTAAGAGCTGTAACTTTCTGAAATAACATGGCCTTGGGGGGGCATGGAGACAGATACTCATTCCAAGGTTATTGGACACCAGAAGCAATAAATTGGAATGCCTCCTAAAACCTACCACTCAGGAATGTTTGCTGGGGACAAAAGAATAGCCCCACTGAAATGTAGTATCTTACAAAAACATGGCCTTTGCTTGAAAGAAAATACCAAGGAACGGAAAACTGATCATTAAAGCCTGACTTTGCTTTCAAAATGTGTGAAAAAGCGAAAAAGTGTGTTATTTTATGCTAGGTCAGCTTCAACCACACAAAGACAGGCAAATTGAAAGAGGAGAAAGGCGGTAGCAGAGACCTGAGAAGGCCTAACCTCAGAGCCCTCAGCAAACTGAGAAGGTAGGAGAGCTTGTTGTTGCCCTCTCCCTTCTATCGCCCTCTCCTAACCCCCATGGGGGTCCCTCTCCTCCCTTCCCTCCCTCCCAGCACATATTCATTTCCCCAGGAACTTGCTCTTGCCAATAATTGCTGTCCTGGAAGGCGGGCCCAGTGCAGTGACCTGGTGAAGAGAAACTGAGTGGGCCTCAGGAGACAGACCTTTGTTCTGGCCGCTACCAGGTCTCTGAGCCTCAATGTGAGCTTCATACAAGAGGATTCACAACAACAGGTTCATTTTTAAGTGATTTTGCAGCACATTAGCTCTTATGAAAGAGCTCTCACATGGATTCCCATTTATGTCCCAAGACGAGGTACAGGAATTATTATTACGCCCATTTTACAGGCGAAGACATTGAGGCTCAGAAAAATGAAGCAATTTTCCCAGCCTGGTAAGGGGCAGAGTAAGGGACCACACCCCAAGTTTCTCTCTCAGTCTTGACATATCCCTCTTCCACATCACGACACCATCACGTTGTTGTCAGGTTTAATTTTCTAAGACTAAGGCATGGTGCAGTTGGAGTGTCTTAGATATAGTTTAACTAGCCGCAGTGAAATAGCACAAGGAAACATGAAGATAAACTCTGGACTGAAATGCATTCCTTTTTTGAAAATTCTTCATTTTACCCGTTAGGTGAGACTGCACGAGGCCTTGCGGTGTGCCTCGTAAGTAATACTAAGATTTTCCACTTCCAGGAACTAAGGATTTATTTTTGTTAATGTCAAAGCTCACATTGTAGGCACTCCCTTGGCAAAAACAACCAACGTGTCCAATATGCCCAAACTCTCTGCCAGCCAGGGGTGAGGGCCCCTCCAGAGCAGGGCTGAAGTGTCTCCTGCCGCCTTCTTGCTGGCTGCAGGGTGAAGGGGACCACTGCCACGTTCCGGTGGCACCAGAGTCTCTGAGCTGTTGGGTTGCCTTCTCCCTGAGCACTGTGGCCTAAGTAACCCACAGTGCAGCTGAGCTCTCCAACATCAAAGCAGGCCTCTGTGAATTAGCCTGGCACCATTTAGAAATCCGCCAGCACCTCCTCAGCTAACTCCTATGCATTTAGACATACTTCCTTAGTGAGGTTTCCATGTCCCTCCAAACAGGCTGGGGCCTCTACTCAACCCCTCACTTCTCTTCCCAGGCACTTGGAATTATTTACTTGATCATGTATAATTGTTTGCTTAGTGTGCAGCTTCCTGGCTCCACTGTAAGCCCCATGTGGGCAAGGTCTGGGTCCGTTATACTCAGCACTGTCTCCTGCGCCTGGCACCACGCTGGACACATTATAGGGACGCAGTAGTGTTTGTGGATTCCCCACTGAGTGTGGGCATCAGAAGACCCAAGTTCTAGTCTTGGTTTTGCTCCTGGCAGGCATTTGGGACAAGCCTCTTCATCTCCTCAGTGGCCTGTAAAACAGGGGAGTTGAACACTCTAATGTCTCTTTTATCTATAACTCTAAGAAGATATTTTATAATCTAATGTTGTGAAACAGAAAACAAAACTGCATGGCATGTAAGCAACCAGATGTTGGGTATGTATTTCTTTCTGTAAGTGTGAAGGGAACTCATGGAAGTGAGTGATTGTGTGACCTGGAGGAGCTTCTGGAGGCTTCTTAGAGAAGGATGGGTGGATTTGGGTAGGTAGAAAGGGGTGTGAAGTTCTTTCTGGTTGAAGGGAAAAGCATAAGGCAGGTTTCCACTGGGGGTAAACAAGATGATTTAGGTGGGACAGATGAATATCGTTCATTTGAATAGCTATACGTTTATTTTAACGTGTAATAGAAAAAATATAACTAGCATATCAAAGCCATGATATACAATTTTCTTTTAAAATAAATTTATTTGTCAAAAAGTCAATTTAAGGAAAAGTTTTAAGTAAATAAAAGTATAAGTTGTCCTTAGGGCAAAAATCATGAGGTTGGCATGCACGTGATTGAAATTTAGGAAACTCTGTCTTAAGGAAATATGTGGAATTGACAATGAGCCAAATTTGAGGCAGGCAGCCTCGCTCCATATTTCTCGGTGAGGGATCTTAAGCCAACTTTCCAACCCCTGTGATGCCAATTTATTCAGCAACATCCAACAAATATGTATTGATTGGTAATTGTAGGCCAGGCCCAATTCTAGGTGCTTGGTACCTAGAGCCCTACCCTTGTGGAACTTGGATTCCATCTGGACGAGACATACCGTAAACAAGAAAGACAATAATTAGGGGATTGGCCTGAATGTTAGAAGGTAATAAGAGCTATGGGAAAAAGAAAAAGTAGAGGAGAGTTAGGGAGATTGGGAGTGTGGAGGGAGGGGTTGCATTTTAAATAGAATGGTCAGGTCAAGGTGGGCTTCAATGAGAAGGTGAGATGTGAGCAAAGACTTGAAGGTGGTAAAAGAGTGAGCCATGTGGCTCTCTAGGGGACAAGTGTTCCAGGCAAAGGGAGCACATAGTGCCCAAGCCAAAAGCAGGAGCATGCTCCGCGTGTTAGAGGAAGAGCAAGGAGGATGGTGTAACAGGTGCAGAGTGAGCAAAGGGGTAGCGCTGAGGCCAGAGAGGTCATAGGGACCAGATAGTGCAGGTCATGAAGGGGTATCAGCTTTAGTCAGAAGGAAGGGGGAGCCATTGCAAGGTTTTGAGCAGAGAAGCGACGTGGTCTGTCTCACTTTTTAAAAGGATTACTTTAACTGCTAAGTTGAAAACAAGACGAGGGTAGAAATAGAGAGACCAGTTAAAGGCTACTGCAGTAAACCTGGCAAGAGATGATGGTAATTGAACCCAGTTGAGTTTATTCACTCTGCAGTGGGGGAAAACACACCATGGGAACCATGAGCTTCTCAGTCAAAGGGTGTTAGAAAGGACTTATTATAGGATTTGGGCTTGTGTTGGATTATTTTAGGGAGGGTTCAGGGAAGTGGGGCTGTGCTGTGGATTGGATGCTGTCAGGAAGCAGGGGTAATCCTATGATTATCTTAATTCTTAGCTAACTGGGAAGAAAAGAAGTAGCAATCATTCACATTAGCCAGGAAAGGGGGCCATGTGGTCATTTTTGTGGTTTGGATAATGTTCTCGTTTTGTTCTCTGCTCAAACATGACTATGGAGAAGTCTCTTTTTGTCTTGACCCATTCCACCTGATGCTGGTGTTCTGTGACATCAGACACAGAGAAGGCCACAGCCTGGCTCTGAGAGCCAGGCCAGCTCTTAGGGACACCAAAGCCTTGCTCCCGGGCTAGCTCCCGGCCGCCGAGGAGGGCCGCTCTTCCCTTTCACAGACCCTTTCTCCTAGAAAATGCATGCAATGCACAAAGCTGCACACTATTTCAGAGGCCCCCGTGAAAGTCCTTGCATGGACCTCGTGACTGAAAACCCTGCATCAAGAGTTGGGAATTAGCAGCAACTCTGGGAGGTCCTCAGAGACACAGAGCAACTCTGGATCACGTTTCCATGCGTTTTCTTTACTCCTGAAAACAGACTAATTCTGCACATGTAATGAGATGTGAGAAACGTGTCACCGTGGACGTGATCTTTAACTTTGATTGGGAGAGTAAAATATTCTTTTATGCCTCTGTGTCAAAAAGAAAGGAAGGAAGGAAGTGAAGAGGAAGAAAGAAAAGAATGAAGGGGAGAGGGTGGAGGAACAGGAAGGTAAAGAGAGATGGAAGGAAGGTGGGAGGGGATTTTATTTTAAGACAAGATGAGAACTCCATTTCTAAGAACCTTCTGGATTCTTCTCAGCTGGCAGAGTCCCTGCCCTGACAGACATGTTGGCAGAAATGGATCTGTTCCTTGGCACGCAGTGTCTACTCCTTCACTGTTTCCATCATTATAATCAGATATGTGTGTATTACATACACAATCATGAATTATATAATCCTAAAAAGTCCAACCAAGAAGGACCTGGAGCTCCTCTCATCCAACTCTTTCATTTTCACCTGGGAAAACAGGCCCAGAGGAGCCAGCTTGCCAGTGGCCACAGTGCTGTTAAGTGCCAGGGCTGGGCCACAAGCCCAAGGTTTCTGACTCTTAGCTCGGTGTTCTTTCCACCACGCAAATAAGTGGAGGTTACAGAGAAATCGATTTTGGCTCCCTGTAAAGAAGTATTTTCTTACAGCCAGAGCCATTCAAAGATAGGATAGGCTCTCTAGGAGGAACCACGTTCCCTATCACCACCACCTTCCAGGAATGTTGCAAGAGCGATTCATGGTAGAGAGTTGGCCCTGATGACGTCGGATGTCCCTTTAGCTCTGAGAGGCCATTAATAGAAAGGAAAACATCTACTTTCCTTCCTTAAGCCTCTGTTTTTACATCTGAAAAATGAGAGTACTAATAATTCCCTCTTCGGAGGATTTCTGTGAGACATACACGAGATAAAACAGATCACGCTATAACATGACAAGCACAGTGCCTGGCACAATAAATGTAACTTGTGGTTGTTAATAGTACGTCCCTGGCACACAATAAGCAATAAATTCAACAAATTTCTTGCCTGGCATCATGGTGACTGCATTTCGTGGAGTATCCTGTCGACATTTTACAACCATCCCGTGAGAACTGGCATACTCTTACTTTTAGGGAGGAAGCAGTCGAGGCTCCAGGAAGCTGAGTAACCTGCCCTAGGTGATGCACCTTTACAAGTGGTTGGAATCTTCTGGGCTCTGGGGCCCATGCTCCTAGCCTCTGAGCTGGACAGCCTTCTCACACACTGGAAGGGTAGTACATTGTCTTTGTGTGCTCTTGGCAAAGTCTCTGCCTCTCTGGGCTTCAGCAGCCCCATTACCCAATGAGTGTGTTTCGTTAGATGCTCTCTAAGCTGTCTCCCTTGCTAGGGCAACAGCTGAGGCAGGTA